AAGCCAGGTAAACTGGCTTACTTTACTTCTTTAATGGTAGAAAAAATAATAGTATCTGCTTTAATGGGCATTACTTTGGGATATTACTGCTTCTGTTTTAAGATAGAAAAAGTCACTTTTGCTTTTATTGGATAAATATTAAGAATTGAATGAATGCAAATGTGAAATATAGTCTTCCTTCAGTATCTACTGGGAATTGGCTTCAAGATCTCCTCACCCACATCCCGAGGATACCAAAGTCTGCACATGCTTAACTTCCACTTATAAAATGGGGTGGTATTTGCATATAACCTATGCATATCTTTCCATGTACTTTAAATTTTTCCTAGATGATTTATAAGACCTAATTCTATTTTAAAGAAATAATAACAAGAAAACATTTTGTACATGTTCAGTATAGGCGCATTATTTTTTTCTGAATATTTTTGGTCCTCTGATGGCTGAATCTAAGATGGTTTGAATCTAGATGCAGAGGGCCTGACTATGTAGAGTTAGTGATAGAATCTTCCCTATGAATATATCATTCACCCAACTAATAGTCTAGGTACTGCTGAATTATACTTATATATCCTCATGTGATTGAACAGGGGACACAGCAACTGTCCAGATACCTTTTCTACCTGGAGGAACTATGGAGCATCGAAAGGAAGCCTGCTTCAGGGTTCAGGATATCCTTGGATCCACTTTAGTGACTCAACTCTCCAAGCTGTTTTAATTTTTAGCAGAATTGCAAGTTCAGTGCAGAGCTGGAAGACTTGCTGCTATATCCCCACCTTGCCTCTCCCATTCCGCCTCATAAGGTCATCATAAATACATTTATCCAAAGGCGCTTCAGAGGAGAGCAGCAGAAACTGCAAGCATTGTATTACGAGTGAAGCACTTATTTGAACCTGTTTGTTTTCATTGTGTGAGTCTTCATGTCCTCAGCTGCATGTAGTCCCGGATACTTGGTGTGCTGTGACTGAGCTGCAGAGGGCAGTAGCTTTGATTTGAGCCTGCATGCGTGAGCAGCATTCTTGTGGGTAATGCTGCCTCTGCTGTAGTGAGCCATCACAAACACCACCTCTCATCAGAGAGGCTTGTGGATTGTAGGATTACAAAGGCATTGGGAATCCAATTCCAAATGCCCTCTCTCTCTCTCTCTCTCTCTCTCTCTCTCTGTTTTGTTTAAAGTCTCATACTTATTAACCAGAACAACCAGGACTAAATCTCTCAGCACTGATGATTTTTTACTCAAATTTTGGGTAAGCTTTGTTAACCCTTCACCACAGGCATTAATGAATATGGGAAGAGAATAGCAACAATTGGACCAGGGTACATTTAACTGAAACATATTTTGTAATACATTAAAACATTAAGGTACATTTTAAATTTGGGGGGGGAAATGTCTATAAAATCCCTTGAACACTTTTTGGCTTATTTGATGTGCCATAATCTTTTCCTGTGGAACCAAGATCCTCTCAGTGAGCATCAGCCCACTGAGCTGGATATATCAGAGGCCAGAGAAGCTTTAAGGCAGTCACTTGAAGGTTGCCATGGCCTTGGGCATGGTTCTTAATGATCCTAAATGATCAGTGGTGCAAAAACCAATCTCATAACAGTGTTGTAAGATAGTAGCATCACACATAGCACAATGCCTGCTATTTAGCAAGGCATCAAAAACTCTTAACTGTCTTTAAAAATATATATATTATTTATTTATCTATTTATCTATCCATCCATCTATTTATTTATTTATGTTGCTGAGGATTAAACCCAGCACCTCACACATGCTAGGCAAGTGCTCTACCACTGAGCTACAGCCCCAGTCCCTCTTAACTGTCTTGATGATGATGACAATGATATATTACAGTGGTGACCTTAAGAATTACTTATGTTGGGCTGGGGATGTGGCTCAAGTGGTAGCACGCTCACCTGGCATGTGCTGGGTGCTGGGTTTGATCCTCAGCACCACATAAGAATAAAATAAAAGATGTTGTGTCCACCGAAAACTAAAATAAAATTTAAAATAAATAAATTCTCTCATCCTCTCTCTCTGTTTCTGAGCCATGTACATTACATTACATTACATTCTCTTAAAAAAGAATTACTTATGCAGGCTGGGGGCTGTAGCTCCGTGGTAGATCGCATGGTTAGCATGTGTGAGGCCCTGGGTTCAAACTCGGGGAGGGGAGGAGAAAGAAAGAAAGGAAACAACAAGAAGAATGATTTACGTGTGAGACTTTTTTTTTTTAATATTTGTGCTAAAATGTCCCAGAATTCTGGGCTATGTTCTACTTGATCATTAATTTATTTCTCATAATCAATTCTCAATGTTTGTTTACATCCTTTTATTGTAGAAAATGCACATAAAAAATACCATGTTAACCATTTTTAAGTGTATAGATCAGTGGCATCAAGTTCATTCACACAGTTTGGAGCCATTACCACAAGACATCTCAAGAATGTTTTGATCTTCCCCAACTATACACCTGTTATTTTTTTTTTTTTTAAGAAATGAAGCTAGTGGGTTTACCACAGAAGACTAGACTGGGGTCCAGGCTGTAGGGTGGGATAGGGGGCAGTGTTGACAAAAGTTTGGCTGATGAATAACCAGGACATGACCTTGAAGCTGATTTGGAATGTGGCAGGTGGATGGAACAATAAATAAGTATACTTCTTAAATGAAGGAGTGTTACCATTTTGCCTATAGTGAGGGAAAACTCAGTGTTAATAGAAGTTTCCTTATCTAAAATGTGTGCTTTGGATATGAAATGCTTTTTTAAATGAGAAACTCAAGGATGATCCCTGTATTAGTTTGCTAGGGTTGCAACGGACAGGGCAGCTTAGACATTAAGTATTCATTATCTCACGATTTCAGAAGCTCGAAATCCAAGTTCAAGGTGTCAGCAGGGTTGGTTCTTCTGAGATCTCGCTTTTTGGCTCATCTCCTCCCTGTGGAGGGTCATTTTCCTGGGTCTTCACATGGTCATCCCTCTGCGTGTTTGTATCCTATTCTCTTCTGCTTATAAGGACACCAGTCCTGATGGATTAGAGCCACCCTCATGATCTCACTTTAGCTTAAATTACTACCAGAAAGGGGTCTTTACAATTAGAGGCTCTTTCTGAGGTACTGAGGTAAGGACTTCAACATACGAATTTTGGAGGTAAGGGGAGTTTGCTTGAGCCTAGCAGTCTCTGAAGTTCTCTCCAGCTCTAACAATCCTCAAAATTCTTGGCAATTCCAGATGAAGCCAAGGCCCAGACCATGCCCTGGCCATGTGTGCTTCTGAGTCACATGATTGTAGCAGAATATTACAAATGCGGCTCTGAAAGTCCCAGAGACAGAATGTCCTTCTGTTTCTGAGCCGTGTACATTACATTTTTCTTAGAGAGAAAGAATAATAAACAGAGACAGAATATTTTAAGTCCTACCCTCCTAGTCTGCCAAGAATAACCCTAGTGTTCTCTGGAGCCCACTCCCTTCATGGCCATCTTGTACTCTGCATCTGCAAATATCTACCCTGTAAAAATCAGTCCACTAGTGTCAAGATAATTCACACAGCTTTAAATAAACACAGGACTCTGAAACAGCCTCTCTCTGCAAACAGAATGCAAGGCCATTTCAGTCCAAAGAAAGGGACCGATGGCTAATGAAACTTTAAGAGCCTTTTAAAACAGCATTTTGTGTGTTGGGGACATGGCCCAGTGGTAGAGAGCTTGCTCACATGTGCAAGGCCCTGGGCTTCATTCCCAGCACTGCAAAGTAGACAAATAATAAAATAGCATTTCAGTTATTGCACTGAGCTACTATTACCTGGGGAGTCCTCATTTTAATGCATATACATTGGAAAACAGTAGTATGTAAGTTTTGAATTATTATCTTTATGGCTGTATTCTATGCAGAAAAAATGCATTGTCATAGTAGAATAATAATTATCTAGAGTGATATCAACAGTGTTTATATCCTTTCTATGATTGTTAGCCCCTGGCAATTTCTTTCTGATGATATGCTTGTGTGAGCAAAGATAGTTCCTTTTTTTTTACCACAATGTGACACTTGATAGAGAAAACATTATGACAGCCTGACCAGAGGGCTAATAAAAATAAATCCATTAATTACACTCAAGTTATTTATACTAAAGACTCCTTCCCTATATTTCTCTCCTTTCTTCCTCCCTTCCCTCCTTCCACTTTTGATCTCTTCACATCTATCAGTTGCAAACTCCACATTAAAAAATTTTCTTTGTAGTTAATTGTCATTTGGGGTGGGTGGGGTAGTACTGGAGATAGAACTCAGGGTCTCATACAGATAGAAAAGGATTCTACCATTGAAACCCCTCCACAGCTCTTTTTTTTTTTTTAATTATGAGACAAGGCTGGCCTCCAATTTATGATCCTCCTACCTCAGCCTCCTGTGTAGTTAGAATAACAGTTGTGTACCAGCACGTCTACCTAGCAAACGGTCTTTTTTTTTTTTTTAAATGCAGAAGAATAATAAAGGAACTGTTGGTTCACACATTGGCCCTTTAAATCTATGTCAGCAAAGATCCATGAAGATTTTTTAGTATACATTGAGGAAATGGTATTTTAGTATGAGTTCCTGTTTTTCAGATAGAATTTGCTTCCTATATATAGAAACTTGGAAGGCGCTGACCTGTCTTGAAAAACGAAAAAAAAAAAAATCAACTCATTTATCCCTTTTCATCGTTGGTGGTTTTCTTTGCTGTGCTCTGAAATTCTCTTTTTTTTGCATTAAAGCCATAATCATCTTGGCTCACTTATTAACCAGTACTGATCTACTAATTGGTTGGTTAAAATGATGAGTTATTATTCATTATAAAAATGAGAAAGCATGGGTTAAGTGCATGTGTTCATTGACATTCTGCAGAGATTTCTTAAGCAGAGTTCAAGCATGAGATTTCCCAGCCATGGACGCAAGACTGAAAGAATAAAAGTGCCTTTTGGAACTGAGCAGCCTTATACCGGATTTCTCTAATGTGTACGTGCTGTTATTTTAGGTCTCCGAATTCAATCCTTTGACGTTCACCAGTGTAATCGAGTGTGAGAAGCCAAACAATGACCTGACTAGGTTTCGTGGTTGCATGTGAGTATCGTGCATCTTCCTGTGCTTATCATTCTGCTTGGTAAAGTACACACACGTGCACACACACACACACACACACACACACACACACACACACACGCATGCACAGAGTTATAAAATCGGTCTTAAATGTTCTTTGCCACATGGTATAATCTTGTGGGAATGCTACCCAACATGTGAACCTTCTGAGCTGCTTTTTGAACAAGTTCATAAGATCCTGTCAGCAGTAGCAACTATCAATGTCCTTATAATGAGTGTGAGTATTTCTCCCACCTGGTCAGCACCAAGCAGGTAGGGGACATGACAAGGGAAGTGTGATGGCTTACATATAGACTCAGAAAATGGCAGCTGGAGCCATGCAGGAGGAACCTGGTTGGAAGCTCATTCCTTCTTTTAGTAAGTCAGTCATTGAACAAGTACTTATATGCTAGGCACTGGCCAGTGCTCTGGATATAGTACAGTGACTCAACAGACAGAATTCTGCCTTCATATTTATTTTATTTAAGTTAGGAGAAAAGAAAGATTAATAAACAAAAACACACAAATAAGAAATGTAGATTCAATACGTCCAACGTCCAGCACCATTTCTTGTTCCAAAGGAGAAAAAGTAAAAATGTGGATAAATAGTCCAGTTGGTTAGTATGGGGAGAGAAAATGGAAGAGAATAGAGCATTTTGGGATGGAGTTGCTGAATATCAGACTAGAGCTATGGGGACAATTTCACAGAGAATGAGGAAGGTGACAAGGACATAAAGGACATTAGGTTTGACCTGCCCTGATTCACTGACCTTTTGTGCATCAGTGGACTCTGTAGACTTAGCTCCCATCTGGAAGATATGGGACCTTCTCCCTGCTGTTGTCCTGCTCTCAAGCTCAAACTTAACAGTTGAGCCCAGGCTACTGCTTAGTGGTCCAGGTACAGAGTGGCCTCTCTACAGTTATGGAGGGTCAGGGTGTTCTGCTTCCTAAAATGGGTTCTATCTCCAAGAGCTTTCAATAAACTTGAATCTTGGAATTTCTGAGTCATCTAGCATGGCTGACTGTGCCCCACACACAGTAGGCATGCAGAGATGCTGGGGTTAGTGCATCATGGAAGACTTCACAGTGAAAGGTGAAGTGCATCTGTAGCTAAGTGTGATGGCTCAGTCACCCACTGAAATTGCTCTGAGGATCAGAACTTGGAAAATGTTAGGCCATCACTTAAAGGAAACAGCTAAAGGGGGGTAAAACTCCTAAGAACAAACCTTATCATATAGTCGACAATATCTCGGGGGAGAACACTCAATTACCCATATGTTCCAGTCTGCTGTGAATTTCTGGTCTCTGTCCTTCCCTGGGCTGCCTTCTCCAGGCTTCCTTAACCAGTTGCCCCAGGAGTTGAAGCCCTTGGTACCATTTGCAGAGGCTCTGTGAATCCCCCAGGCCCAAGCCAGCTCGAACAGGTGCTGGGTTTCTGAAGATAGCTGGGCATTAAACAAGTCCTCTTTGGTGCTAAGGCTGCGAGGCTCCGGAGCCCGCACTTACTAACTAGATAACCCTGGGTGAGTTACTCACCCACAATCACTCATCTATACAATGAGAATAATTTAGGACGTTCCCTGTGTCAAGGAAAGTTCAGTTAATTTAATACACAGAAAGTTTTCAAACATGATAGGTGTTCAATAAATATTGACCACTATCATTGAGGCTGCTGTGTTAAAAATAGTATTATAAATAATAATACGGAGCAAGAGATGAGAAGAGTCAGGAGATGGTACAGATAGCCGAGTTACTCAAGTGATCTTCAGGAGGGAGATTAGTGGAGAAGGTGATTGGGAGAATGGCTTATCGTGTGTGTGTGTGTGTGTGTGTGTGTGTGTGTGTAAGAACCACAGGAAGAAGGAAGATGGGTTTGAAGTTTCCTGAGTTTGAGGATGTGGCAAATGTATAAGGCACAGTGATCAGATGACAGCAAAATAATATGGGTCAGGAATTGTGTTAATCTGTTGTCTGACTATAATGAAATACCTGAGGCTGGGTACTTATGGAGAGGTTTGTTTAAAGCACAGTAAGTGCAGTATGCTATAGACTATGGTGAGAACCCTCTGGCTGTGTCTCTGTATCTCTCACGGTGGATGGCATCATGGTGGGAGTGTATGTGAGAGGGAGAGATCACATCACCAGATAGGAAGCCAGAGGTTGAGGAGGGGCCAGTAATCCCCTCCCACTAGGCCCCACCCCTACACAGTCCCATTGCCTCTTAACATCAACACAGTGGGGATCAGGCTTCATGCACTTGAATTCATGAGGGATTACCCACATTCCCTCCAAACCATAGCAGGAATTGAGGACAGGGTAGGAGCTAGCGATAAAAATTTGAAGACCCTCTACCTACAGGTCATATTCAAAGTTAGAGAAGAGGCCAGGCCATATGAGACAGTAAGGAAAGAAAAGAAAGGAATGAAGACAAAGTAATCCCCAAAGTTAGGAACAGTCACCTTGATATGATGGGGAAACCATCACAAGGGTGATACCCAGGGGAGGAGACACAGCATGGACATTGAAAGGAGATCTGCAGTACCCTGGGTTCCACAGAAAGCCTAAGGAAGGTGACAACTAAGTCATTTCAGAGAGTTTTAGCTCCAGGATATAGGAGAGGAAGAGACATTGCTCAACCACTCTTTCTAGAAGTGTGACCTAAAGAGGAGGGTTGTGACCAGAAAGAAGGCCCTAAATACAAAAGAGTGATACTTGTTAGAAAGAGAGAAGGTAGGAAAAAAAAAAAAAAACAAACCCAGGCTCGTAGAGTCCTTAGGTGCTTGTGAAGGGGACATGGTGATCTCTGTGCATGAGGGGCTGGCCCTCAGTGAGGCTGGTATCTTGTGGCTTCTCAGTTAACCCAGTACCCAGCCTTCAGCTGTCTTGATATCTCCATCCTGTTTCTCTCCCCTGGGCACTATGGAAACAGTCTTTTGAACAGACATTGTTCTGAAAGGCCTGGTCAGACTTTTCCAACAATGCTAACATTAAGTGTTCCCAGCATGGTTGTCCTCATGGGTACATTTCCTGAGAAAGACCTGCTGAGAAGGGAACGAAATCCTTTCTACTCTGTTCTCTAATCATCTTGCCTTCCCCTTTGTTTTTCTACTCTGTTTTCCTACCCTGATGGTCCCCCAGAGCCTGGGCCTAGGAAGGGCAGAGAGTTTGAGCAAAATAATGTGGGCCAGGAATTGTGTTAGTCTATTGTCTGACTATAATGAAATACATATGGCTGTCTACATATGCACAGACCTCTGCATATGTAACCCCATTTAACTGATTTGCTATCTCTACCAGATGAGGTGGTTCGGATTTGCCACAGGATTGACAGTGTGCCCACAGGCCCCTCTTCCAGCCAGACTAACGCAAGCAGGGTCTTTGGAGCCTATGGATAGCATTGTCTGAAAGGTTTTCTTGTGACTGTGGCATACCGTCAGCCTCATCAAGGCTGAAGCTCAAGATCCAGAAAGAATACAAAGGGAGGATCAGCGAGGTCAGGGGATCCAGGGTATTAGCAAAGGGAGCAGGGCAGCCTCATGCTGAGGACTGCTGTCCTGAGCAGGGAGTGGGCCTGCTCATGCTGGATTCCCATGTTCTATCCTGGATAGAGAGAAGGAGGTCAGAGAAAAGGAGGTTGATTCACACTCATCCCAATAATGCTAGGAGCAGTGAACTAACCTGAGGAGCAGATCTGTCATGGAGACTGCAGAGCCGGTTCCTGGTTGGTTGGCTTGTGTGTTTGTTATCATCTCAGGGTGGCCTCCCTTTAGCCTCTGTGAGACAGTAGCTACATGCAAGTAACTTCATCATGCCAGGGAACCATGGATGGCAGACCAAACTCCTCAACAGGCATGCCAGCAAGTTTTGTTCTTTTCTTGGACCAGCCAATCCAAACTCAAAATCTTAGCCATTTGCAGAGCTAAGTTTGGGTTTATAGCAGCAAGAAAACCCAAGTCTGAAGTTAAGCTCTCCCCATTGCTGAGTCAGGTGACCTTAGAAATTTACTCTGCATTTCTGATCCTCCGCCTTTGAATTTTGTGGTTAACATTGGCTACCCCCTCAACTTCACAGGCTGACCTGAGAAACAAATGAAAGAAAATATGTGAAATACCACATGAATTAGAATATATCGTGCAACCACTCTGTGCTAGCTTTAGTGTATGGTTCCACTCATGTGAGATGCCTGCGGTAGGACAATCTTATAGATACAGAGAGGGGATCAGAGGTTGTTAGGGCTTGAGAGGAGGGGAGTGGAATAGGAATGGGGAGTGACTGCTAATGGGTATTGGGTTTCTTTGGGGGATGAAGAAAATGTTCTCAAATTAGCTGCTGGTGGTAGTTTCACAATTCTCAATTTACAAAACAGCAACAAAAAGCTCCAGTGAACTATATACTTTAAATAACTGAATATAAACTAAATCTCCTGCTATTAGAAAAAAAGTGTTAAGAACACTTTAAAGACCTGTGTTGTTTCAAATGATCTTTATATGAAGTCTTCAGTTAGAAACTGGAAATAGAAATATTCTTCACCTCTTTCAGGGCTCAGTCCTTAGCTCCTTCCCCAGGGCATCACAGCTGCACATACAGGCCCCTTATGAATGGAGACTTGGCTTAGGATGACTCCATTTGACTGTGTTCAGTCAACTTCATGTTGTATAGTGATCTTTGAAACCACAACTCAATGAAACATTTGCATTTTCCCCTAAAGGATGAAGCAAAAGAAGCTGGCTGGTCATCTGATGTAAATTTCCAATTCACATTATAAATTCAGTTGCCTATTTTTCTCTTCAGAACTATCAATGTTTGTTTTTTATATTTAGGTGCTTTGATGTTTGGATGCATATATACTTGTTATGTCTTCCTGTTGAATCCACTCTTTCTTTATAAGATGACTTTGTTCATCTTTTGGGAGATTTTTGGATTCAAAGCTCTTTGCCTGATATCACTAGAGCCCCCCCTGATCTCTTCTGGTTACCATTTTTACCCCAAAGTTAGAGTCCACAGAGCAGGGTTTTGAGCTTTTCTTCCTGATGCTGCAGAGCCATTTGCAACCACAAAGGGCTAGTGTGAGCATTGAATGCCATCAGGAGCCCAGAGCCTGCTTGTGGGGTACAAATAACAGAGATGTCATGGTAAAATTTCTCTGGTGACTGTGAGTATGAAGGACCCAGGCTGGTGGTGTTGAGGCTAGCAATGGTGTGCTGCAGGCTCCAGCAAAAAAAAAAAAAAAAAAGTGGGTAACCTGAATTAGGGCAATGAATTAGGTGAGAAGGAGGCCCTTGGATTAGAGAAATAGCTAGTGAGGAGGTTGATATTGAGAACTGATGGTAGAATGGATGGGAAAACAAGGCATTAATAACACTGAGGTTGCTGGTCCAGCAACCTCAACCAATGTATCAGCAAGTTGCTTTCTCCTGAGGTGCCTCTGCTTGGCTTGGGTATGTCCTTCTGCTCCTTATGGCTGATGTGGAGCCACTAACCAGGGTGAAGCAGAGAGGAAAACCCAGTCTCTAAGTGTTGCAGATGATATGCCCTGGGGGAGGCAGTCAGCCTGAAAACTCTCTTCAAGGTTCTGGCACTTGATATTGCAACCCTTAGACCTTGGGGGGAGGTATGTGGGCACAGGAATGCCTTGTGTTCCTGTTTCTGAATGGACAGATTCCAACCCTGTTGCAGATGCTTGTCAGCATGTTGGTCATTACTAGAACTCACCTTCCTTCACATACTGGGACTCAGACACATAAGAGCCATTCCCAACAGCAAGTGCAGTCACCAGAAATGGAACATCTTTCAAGAGAGAAAAGCTGAGCAGGTCATTTATTAGCTGAACTTGCCATTTCCCAAAGATCCTGCATATGGCACTTTTTTAGTGCATGCTATATGGTACTATCAGACAGTACTCTCATAAAATTTTACTTCTGGACAGTTTTGATTTAGAAGAGATTGGTTTGATGAGTTAAGAGGCCTGGGGACTTGAACTAGATGAACTCTTCGAGGTAGCTTAGATTAAATGTTAAAGGATGTATTCAATTGGCAAGGCTGCCATAACGAATCACCACAGACTGGGCAGCTTTGACAACAGAAGTTTATTTTCTTGCAATCTAGAGCCCGGAAGTCTAAGACCAATGTATCAGCAAGTTGCTTTCTCCTGAGATACCTCTGCTTGGCTTGTGGATGTCCTTCTGCTCCTTATGTCTTCCCATGATTGTCCCTCTATGTGCCTTTGTTCTAATGTTGTCCTTTTTTTTTTCTACCCCAGTTTGGTGCTGGGAATTAAACCCTTGAGCATATCAGGCAAGCACTGTATGCACAGCCACATCTTCTGCCCCTAATCTCTTCTTTTAAGGTTACCACTCTGATTAGATCAAGTCCTGCCCTGATGGCCCTTTTGAAACTTAATTTCTTGTTTTAAAGACCCTGTCTTCAAATTCCAGTAATATCCTAAGGTCCTGGAAATTGAGACTTCAACCTCTGAATCTCAGGGAGGACACAGTTCAGCCCAGGCTGTTGCTTCTCTGAATCTATAATGTGAACTTTGAATCTCAAAGGGGGAAGTGCTAAGTATAGCTTGATGGGCTCACGTTCTTGTGTGCAGCTTCATGGAATTGAGACTCATGCTTGCATGGCCCTGGGTCTATTCCACTGTTATCTGGGACTCTCCCTTTCAGAAGTCTAAGGCAGGTGCCCTTCGCCACCCCCCACTGCTGCGTGTGCCCGCATGATGGCATCACAGCTGCGTGCTGGGATTCCCCTGGGTACTGCTGTTTTCCAGCCTTCCTTCCATTGTGATGAGCTGGTCACAAAGAGCTATGGGTTGTTTTTTGTTGTTGTTGTTGTTTGTTTGTTTGTTTTTTTAATGTTTTTTGGTTGTAGATGAACACAATACGCTTATTTTATTATTATTATTATTATTTTTTTAACGGAGCTGAGGATAGAACCCAGTGCCTTCCACATGCGAGGTGAATACTCTACCATTGAGCTACAACCCCAGCCTGCTGTGGTTCTTATATAGCCCTGTGCACCTCCTGGTGATGAGTTGCTGTCTGGCTTGATTAGAAGCATAGCATGGTTGTCCCTCAGTTTCCAGGGGATTGGTTCCAGGACCCTCCACTGACACCAAAACCTACAGATGCTGAAGTCTCTAATAGAAAAAGGTGTAGTATCTGCATATAACCTGGGTGCATTCTCCTGTATACTTTAAATCATCTCTAGATGACTTTTAATAACCTAATACAGTGTAAGTGCTATGTAAATAGTCGTTACACTGTATTGTTAAGGGAATTATGGTGAAAAATCTGAAAATGTTCAGTACAGTCAAATATTTGTTTCAATATCTTTCATTCTGGTTGGTTGAATCTACAAATGCTGAGAACCCATATTGACTGTAGTTTCTAAAAAGCTGTCAAAGAAGACTTATCTAAAATAGATATTTTTCTTGTTTCTTTTGAGTTTTATCTCTTATTCCTGGTAAGCATTACTGGAGCTTTGAGATGAGTCATTCTTTACTGTTACTTCAGAGAAATTGTTTTCATATCCAGCTGTTTCTAGAGAGACATCCATGTCAGAAATGTGGCTATGGTGTCCTCTCATTTGGAAAGTGTGAAGCAGGGCTTTCTTCGTAGTTAATATCATCTTATACAGGCTGGTTTCTGGATGCTTCAGCTGGCAGTGAGGTTTTCAGTCTTGAATCTCTTTTTGAAGTAGAACTTTACTCTGTCTCAGAGTTGCCAAAGTGGACTGTCAGCTCAGTGTTGATTGAGCATCTCCCCCACCTCTGTGTTCCTTTGCATTTACTCTGCAAAAGAACCACCCAGCATGCATTTTAGCTTTGATTGCATTGTGTAGCTTTTTCTGATTATTTCCCTAGTAACTGGGTACCGTGCTAGGAGTTGGGAGAAGGAAAAGACTTCCAAGGGTCTCTGGTAAGATTCCAAGAACCTCAGTGGAGGCATTTTGATTGTGGGTGTACCCAGAGGGGTGAGTTTACTGAAAAGGTGGTGTTTTGGAAGGTGCTTCTCTCAGTGTCACTGCCTGGGGAAGATTAGACTGTGCTTGGTTGTAGTTCTGGAAGCCTCTAAGGCTCCCCCTTGAGACCTGTACATTGGGTTCCTGCGATTCTTCTGTCCCAATGTAGTCCTAGCATGGGGCTGTCCTATCCAGCACAGGTCATTGGTGAGCCAGGAGGATGAGTTTGAAGACCAGAAGCTTAAGCTTAGATTACCTTTCTAAATCTACATACTAATGAAACAATTTAGAAGCTTGTTTCATGGGCTTACATTTCAAATTACATATATTAGTATTTCTAATAACTTTGTGATTTTTTAATAAGGGAAAAATGTAAAAAAAATGTTGCTCAAACTAATATCATTCCCTTTTCCAGATGCATATTTGTATTTTTTATGACATGAGGTGCTGATTAGAAGTAACCTTTCCTTTGAGAAGCAGGAGATATACCACCTAGCAAAGCCAACCTTGTCTGGCTTCCCAACTCTGCTCTGCTTTCCACATTTGGTCTTCTCTAGCTATGTCAGTTTCTAGAGTTAAAAAAAAAAAAGGTACAAAGTAAATAAATAAGAACCAGGCTTTCCAGTTCTTTTGGATGCCCAGTTACTAGTGAACAGTAACTTTTTCTCAGCTCTTGTAGAGGCACACTAAGATAAGCCACCCGTACTTGAGGCTCCCTGATCACTTTACCTGTCCAGCTTTCAGGTTTTCTGGAGCTTCCAGTTATTCCAGGGCCTTCCTTCCCTAAGGTAGCGCTGATTGGGAATTGTATGCAATTACATGACATGTGCCAATTATTCATCAATAGCATACACGATAATGGGAAGAAGGCTGGACTGTACAAGGAAAACCTGCTGCTGCGAGGGTGTACCATCAGGAATACAGAAGCAGTAGTTGGCATCGTCATCTATGCAGGTAGGTATAGGCACTTTAGATCGTGTGCTGCCATGTGGTGCTGTATGCTCTCAAACATTTCTCCCTAATTTTTTATCCAGAAGAGTAGCATATACCATTGTAGGAAATTTAGGAAACTAGGATACAAAAAGAGCTTAAGTAAGAATTGTTCTAATAATTCCTCAACTAAAAATGTTCTGTCTTGGCATTATAGCATATTTATTTCCATTCATTTTCCCACCATTGTTAACTATGCAAGATTAATTTTATACCCTGCTATTTTGACCCAGATTGTCATATAAGCATAATTGGGTGGCAGCATAGCAGTTCATTCCATGGGATCCACATCAACTGGTCCTTTAACTATTGGTCATTGGCTCACTACATTTCTTCCTTTTCCCCAACAGGACACGAAACCAAGGCTCTGCTGAACAACAGCGGGCCCCGCTACAAGCGCAGCCAACTTGAGAGGCAGATGAACTGCGACGTGCTCTGGTGTGTCCTTCTCCTCGTTTGTATGTCTCTGTTGTCAGCGGTCGGTAAGTCTCCTAGATGGATCACCAATGAATGGGCACTGCTGAGTAGCCTCCAGGCGAGCTCTGTGGGCTGTCTTGACTCATTCTGATCCAGCATTCTAAAACACATTTTTTCCACTGACTTGGACTCAAGGGCTGTTTGCATCAGCACAGGCCACATTGAGATGCCTAGATGATTGATGGCAGAGTAATGTTATTTTCTGAATTGACAACTCTTTGGAAGAATGGATGCATCACAGCAGCAGTAATAATGAGTCCGTGAAAGAAGCATCAGAAAGCTGGTGATAAACTAAGGCCAATAGCAAGAGAAGCACAAATGTTACAATGGGAACTTCAAGAAATCAGGAAAAAAGAAACATTACTTGGATACCAAGAAGGGGCTGCAGTTTACATTAGCCTTGTAGGGAAGTGTGTTGACGCCCCAGTACAGGACCTTCACCTTGTTCCTGATCAGCTGCCAACATACACGAGACAGGTGTGACATGGTCTGAGAGCTCAGTGGTAAAGGACATAAGCATATAGAACACAAAAAAGACTTCTGTTATCAGATAGATGGGGGACCCAGTCGGTTAAATCGTGCCTACTGCTGTTGCTTCTCTGAATGTGAACTTTGAATCTCCAAGAAGGAACAATAATGGGAAGCATATCCAAAGCCCACTGATTTTTCATGAGACTAGTCTTTTGTGAGACTACAAAATTCTTTTTTGTGTGCTTCACACTGCTAAACACAGATGATTCCTACATTATGACCAGTGGTATCATTACACATCAACAATAGGAAACTTTTGGTATGAGGATAAGTCCAATTTCAAGCTCCTTCCAGAAATCTGATCAAGGGTGCCAAAAACACTTGTGTGTTTTTACTTTCTTATATGGCAAGGCAGGCTAATAAAGCCATATGTGCTATGTCCTCTGTCCTAAATGTGCTGTAATCTTAAAAGTTTTGCTTAATTTATACTAGTAGTGCTCATACTTTTTCTATCAGATGAATGATGTTTCTCTTCGAATGTTGCTACAGGACATGGATTGTGGGTACAGCGGTATCAAGATAAGAAAGCATTATTTGATGTCCCTGAGTCTGACGGCAGTTCTTTATCCCCAGTCACAGCAGCAGTTTACTCATTTTTGACAATGATAATAGTTCTGCAGGTAACAGTACTAAGCATCGTATGATACTTGCTTTACTTTTCTCAAGAGAACTTGAAAGTCATAATAGTCTGCTAAGAATTTCCTATAATTTCTGCATCTGGGAGAACCACAAATATATCTGCCTGATGTGTTGCTTTTTATTTCTCCACTTATTTATAGGTTTTCATCCTTGGGTGATTTTTCAAGTTAAAGATCTCCTTTGCTTTTCTTAAGATTCCTAATACTTTGAAATCTTGGTGTTGGTCATCATTTTCATTTCATTGTTTTTCCTTTGAATTTTTTTTCTTTTCAGTGTTGAGGATCAAACCCAGGGCCTCATATTAGGCAATCCCCTACCCAAATTACTTTGTTTAAAAATAAATTTTATTTTGAAATAATTTTAAGATTTACAGAAAAGTTGAAAAGACTAACATAAAGAGCTCCCATAATTCCATCACACAGGTTCTCCAAAATGTGAACATGTTATATTATTGTAGTGTATTATAAAGACAAGAAAATAACTTGGGTACTTTGCCGTGAACACAATTCAAACTGCATCATTCAGAGCTCACCTATCTTTCCAGTGATGTGGTTTTTGTTTGTTCCAGGATTCAGTTCAATTCAGGTTATCACATGTATCAGTACTTGTTGTTGTTGTTGTTGCTAATATTATTCACATGCCTCCTTCACAACTCCCAGTTACTGAAAGTCTATGTCTAGAAAGTTTAGTTAAAGATTGGGGATGGTCCCAGTGCTCCAAAGGGTGAGAAGGGAAGCAAGAGTCACCACCAACCCTTTTGAGAATATAGAGAATAACCAGAGGATGTATACTTAGCTTCACCTAGGAGGGAAGCTCTGCTCTCTCTTATCATCTGTGCTTCATATACAGGAAACAGCCTTATTTAACTTCTCAAATTAGTCCTTTTATATAAATGCAAAATTTGTTCTGGTCTTGAGGTAGGGTAATATTTGGAATTTCATTAACATAATTTATTTACCCAGAGAACCATGTTACTCTGAATATGATATTCTGGGCCTATACAAATTATTTCAATGCTGTGACTCTAAAAAGTAAATACTAATTTCAAGGAAGTTGGTCTAAAAATTTCAAGACATGACTGCAAACAATTCTTGCAAAGCTTTGTCCCTTTATTCTATATTATACAAGATTGAAGAAATGGTGCTTTAACACAAAACTAAGCTCTGAAAAAAAAGAATGTCGCTTTTTGGAGGATGTTGTCTGAACTCTGGGCTTGTGTCCATGAGAGACAGGCAACTCCTATCACCTGGGGCCCAAGGGAGGCCTGGGGGTCAAACATTGCCATGGTTTGAGATGACTTTGCTTACGCAGACTCTGACTATGCCATATTTTTTTTCTTTCTCTCTCTCTCTCTTCTTTCTTTCCTTTCCTAGCCTCTCTCGAGCACAATTTAGTAATACGAAAATGCTTGCTTCTGCCCAAGCCATGGTCACACTTCCAGACACCATAGTGGATTTCCGCTCTGCAGTTGCATCATAGGCTGTCCTAGTTTAAACTCTATGCCAATTCTTTAATCCTTTTCCAATAGTGACTCTAAACCAACCTATTTAAGCTTTTAAAGGTACAGTATAGTTCCTGCTTCCTCCTGGTTGTAGTCATTTGTCATTTAAATAGATCAGACCAATTCTATAGCTCCATGTCCTCACGGTCATTCATCCTGTGTGCCTTGTGTCTCCTAGGTTTTGATCCCTATTTCCTTATATGTTTCCATTGAAATTGTTAAAGTTTGCCAAGTGTACTTCATTAACCAGGATATAGAGTTGTACGATGAAGAGACAGATTCTCAGCTGCAGTGTCGGGCTCTGAACATCACGGAAGACTTAGGGCAGATACAGTATATCTTCTCAGACAAAACTGGCACTTTAACTGAGAATAAAATGGTTTTCCGAAGATGCACAGTGTCTGGCATAGAATATTCTCATGATGCAAATGGTGAGTCTGGGGGATTTTCTATTTGGGCTGGACCAGAAAACTGCTATATCCAATGCTGCGTGTGAACACACACACACAAGTTTCAGGGTTTGCTGATTTTCAAGGAAGCAAAAAGACATGGCTGTCAGAGCACCTCGGGAGCCTGATGTCTGGCACGATTTATAGGAAAGGCTGACACTACCAGGCTCACTGCAGTGTGTGGAATGGCAGGCATGTTTCAGCACGCATTTTCTGTCGGGCAAGTGCAGCAGCAGGCAGGGCACTCTTAAGGAGCTCATTTCTGAGGCATGCAGTCATTTCACTCTGTCACACCCAGGGACAAAGAGATGTTTCTGTTGTCACTCATCTGTCTTCCTGTTATCAGCTAAAGATTTTTAGAAGGGCATTGGTTAATTCAGGCTGCATTCTTTCCCTTGGAACAAAATGTCCGTGGGAGCTGGCGAGAAATCAATCGCCTCACTTCCGATTATGATTGCTCAGACAGCCCCTCCTCCCACCTCTCCTTTCCTTATCCTCTGCTGCCTCCTTTGTCTCTGAAGGAAGGCTAAGGGGAGCCACGACTTCTTAAGCCAAGGGTGTGACTAAACCAGCAGTCTCCACCCCAGGCAGGAGAGGGTGCAATGAGAAGTTGTCCTGCACTCATAATTTTTCAGGGTCATAGCACCTCCAAGCGAGGCCACCCTGATCTGCAACAAAGACTTTATTTCCCTCCTATAACTGCAACAAATAACATAAAGAAACCTGTATAAAATGGGGAATAGGGGGAATGGAACAGCCATTGGGCATTAATAGGAAACTTCTTTAGAGATATTTGATGAGAAATCTGGGATTTTTTTTATGAAATCAAGAATTATCTTGATATCCTCTACCTTCCTCCATATATAATTAAAGCAATTGTAGTAAACAGAAGGCAGAAGAACTTATACACTTTAATGTCTTATTCTCCACCCAAAATAAACTGTCTGTGATAGTATTCCATACTTTAATCTATCCACACTTTTTCCACTCTCCTTCTATCCCCCCTACCCTTTCCTTGCATTAGACCCTGTTCCTCCCTTCTGGTCCCCTTCTCTCACTGCTAGAATTTGTGCAGAATAGCTCATTCCCAGGCAGCATTTTCTTCAGCAGCCTTCTGAAATTGAGATCAGTTTCAGACAGATAAAAAGGACAGGTTTTGATATCTATTGCATAGCAGTGACTATGTGTAGTTAATAATTAGGTGTTGTATGCTGCAAAACAGCTACAAGTAAATTACAGACATCTCACCTTAAAAATGATATGCAGGTGAGGTGATGGATATGCATACATTGCATACATCTATCAAAACATCACATTTTATCCCATAAATGTATATAATTATGATTTGTCAATTAAAAATATTATATTTTTGAAAATATTAATAAAGTCAGGACCTGAGGCTCCATGGGGAGAAATCACAGAAAGATTTTGACAGTTGTTAAATGCTTACCAGAACTAAAGAGTTCTGTTGCCTTCAGAAAATAGGAGAGCATTTCTGGTGAGTAATGAAATAACCAACCATGCATCTCCACAGAACATTTTACAGAAGTGCCTGGATCAGCAGTTGACGGACAGAGAGCACCTTCAGCTAGTTAATCCTATGATCTGATCACTCACTGGTAAATTAATACTGATAAATTTCCCTTTGAGCACTGAGCCCAGCTCACATATGCCGTAACTGGTCATGCAGACCATGGGTGTGCTTCTTTTTGATGACCTGGAGCCACTGACTGTGCATGCCCAGGGATAGGTAGTTCCTGAACCTTGCCCTCTTCTTCCATGAGGACCTCAAAAGTCTCATTGAAGTCACTGGAGTCAGAAAATATCTCACACCAGCATTGGCCCCATCCCTGGCCCCCATATCCTGGGAGGCATGAAGGCAGTCCTTAGTGGTGGCTACATTGAACTCTGATACCTGGTAACCAGTGGTGGGGGAGATGGGATGGGCAGGTATTCCCTTTGCAGGCAGAAGCCAAGCTCCAAATGCACTAGCTAGAAAGTAGATATAATCTTGTGTCCAGGCTTTGCCTTTTCTTGCTGTCCAGTGTCACCAAACTGGGATTAGTGTCACCTAAGAGCAGGTAGGATGTTTGAGAGGAATCAAACATCCCTGCTGCCTGGAATTTTGGTGTTGGGAAGTACTCAGCCTTCTGATAGTGGTCAGGTGACTTCCTGTTCTGTCTCCCCATTTCTCATCTGTAAAGGAAAGTCTCTTAAGATATGTTCAATACATAGGCTTATCCCACATGACTGATCAGTATCTTGGGCATCCTCTTCTCTGGGCAGCTTCTCAGCAGGCTCCCTCATGTAAGGATTCCTTGTAGTTCTGCCCAGCACGACATGCACTTGAAGTTCTAATTAGGTGCTTATTTTGAATGGGTAATTCTCATGAATAGTCTCCTTGTTGCTCATCTATGAAGAAGCAAGCCATCCTAACTGGGAAAAACAGGGAAATTTGTTAAGGATCATTGGTTAACACGCAACTCTTCATACTACTTACCAAATGCCCCCATGGCCTCAGGGACTTTGCTCAACAGTGCCCCCTAAGGGCTCAAGTGCAGCATCACAATCACCCTGTCTGTAAGTGATCCTCCTGTGTGTGACTCTTAGGAGGAGTTTAAGCCTCCCTGATCTGCAGCACTTCACAGGAACAAAGCCTGGACATGTGATTGTGTCTACATTCTAGCTAGTACATTTGGAGCTTGGTTTCTGCCTGCAAAGAGATTACCTGCCCGTCCCACCTTCTCCCACCAGTAGTCACCCTGTCCACTTGTCCTTGATAAGGAGGTTGGCACCAATGAGTGCTCTCATCCCAGCTGAAGTCCCATACATTTGTTTCAAAAGATTCACAATTCCTCATCTGCCTGGAAGGCTCCAGTGAGGAAAGTGGGCCCTATAACCCCATGCATGGTGGACAAATCCTTAAGTCCTATTGTGTGGACCAGGCCTGCACGTTCTGCCCTGCCTTCCTCCAGGCCACCTGCTGGCCCAATCCAATGTGCACTTTGGTTCTACCTAAAAAGAAGACCTGCCCACACCTGACTTGTTGGTTGAGTGGACCACTGTATCATACTGGAAAGGATCCAGGCTTTGTCATCCTTTGGGCCTGAGTGCCACCATCATCCTTCTGTGACTGTGTCTTGTGACTTTAGCAAGCCCCTAAGTTTTCTGAAATGAGGCTTGGTCTGTTCATCTGAGAAATGGGGTTGAGAATATCAGCCTCCTTAGGCTGACCTGAGAGTTCAGATAAACAAGAATATGCTCTAACCTCTGTCAGTGGTTAGTCCCTTAAATGTGGCCTTGCCTTTAGAAAGTGAAGGTACTGAGTGCTCTGGGCACCCTGCCGAAATCCTCATGAAACCTAAAAGGCCCTGAATTGGCTCAATCTGCTAAACCTGCTCAACCTGCTCCCATGATATCTTATTCTGTGTTCCCGTCCTTACAGCCCAGCGTCTGGCCAGATACCAGGAGGCAGACTCAGAAGAGGAGGAGGTGCCCAGGGGGGGCTCATCCCAGCGTGGCAGTATTGGGAGCCACCAGAGTGTCCGGATCCTACACAGGAGTCAGAGTACAAAGTCCTACTGGCGCACAGGCAGCCGGGCTGAGGCCAAGAGGGCTAGCATGCTGTCCAAGCACACGGCTTTCAGTAGCCCCATGGTGAGTGTGCAGGCACGGGCACATGACCCTTTGGGAGGATGCCCAGCCTGCCCTCCTGCTTTCTTCCACTGTCATTTTCTTCAATCACCAAAGGTGTCTATATTTAATTATACAAATAAGCTTTTGCTGGGTCGTTTGGCTCTGCTCAGTTAGCAGAAGTTTTTCTGGCCAGTATCTTCTCCCCACTGTTGTATCTTTTCCAAAACACTGACACAGCCTCTTTGCCATACATCTATGGCTGGGTGATTGCCATGTGAGCCACCCACCAAGGGCGATGGAGAAGAAGCTGTCCTGCCAAATGAAATGAATAAAACATCAGAGCAAAATGACAACTGTGGAAAAGCAAAGTCAATCCCCTCCCCTCAAGTAGTTAATTATTTGAGCCTAAATAGAGTGGCACTATTTTCTTCCTTGCCTTGTCAGCTGTCCATGTGTTTATAGGCCACCGCCATCGGGCAGGGAAATTTCGAGAAACCAGAGACAAATTCCAAAAGATACTTTCACTTATGAAATGTTTTAAGAACAGAGGGAAAAATACATTGTGAGTTGCTTCATTTCTTATGTCCTTCTGTACCCACATAGAAGCCACCACTTAAATGGGGTGGCCTAGAATTGTGGACTCCGATCAATGGGTTTACATGGGGTTGCCAAAAGGGCCTCTGGGAGACCTAAGGGAAACTGTGTTGGAACAAGTTTTCCTGACAACATTTCTGCATCACATGTCAAAAGTGTTCAAACTTTCTGACCTAGTAATTTAATGATTCAAAGATTGGTGTTTGCAGAAGTTTATCAAGATGTTATTTATATCAGCAAAATGGTGAAAAGAAGTCAAAATATCCAGTGATCAAGAGATGGTCAGATAAATGATGGTATCTCCATCCATTTTGAAGTTATTAAAGATGTGTTTTTATATAATCCTTAAAGCCATCGAAAAGTTCAGATAGTATAATGTTTTGGGTGGAAATGGAAACTGCCAATTTGTTATAACGTATTTTGATTATGTGAAATTTAAATATAAAGATAAAAACCTGCAAGGAAATACAGAAGCATATTTCTGAAAAGTAAATATTTTGTGGGATAATAGGATACAAATTTGTTGAATTTTTCTAGGCTGACACATGTTATTTTGTAATAATATATCTTAGATATATTGTTTTATAAGAAATATGTATTTACATAAGAATATGCATTTTTTCCATATGTAAATGATACATTTTATACAATTAAAGTTATATATAATGTACAATTATAAAATGAAATAAGTGTGTATGTGAGGTGGAGTTCTGTTTATACCTTTTAATAAAACCAAGGCTCCTTAAATAGGTAAGCACGAAGATCCTTGGCAGTTTACTGGTTCCGACTCAACATGTGTCTCCATTTTCTCCCCAGGAGAAAGACATTACACCTGATCCAAAGCTGTTAGAGAAGGTGAGCGAGTGTGACAGGTACCTGGCCATATCAAGGCACCAGGAGCACCCTCTGGCCCAACTCTCTCCAGAGCTGTCTGATGTCTTTGATTTCTTCATTGCGCTTACCATCTGCAATACAGTAGTGGTCACATCCCCGGATCAGCCACGACAGAAGGCAAGTTGTGGAGTATCCCCAAGATCACATGATGCGCTTGATCTTCTCAAAAACTCTTCTGGTAGTCTTCCTGAGGGTGAGCATGCTTCCCTTTCCTTCAAGGAGCTGCTCTCAGGTTTAAGAAAGATGCAGCTTCACATAGGGCGAAACAGTGCATTGGTTCTGCAGTGTCATCCCAGGCTACAGTGGACAGGTCAGGACTGAGGCCAAGTGGGAGAGGACACATTGCCAGGGACACCTTCTGTGCCTCAGACAGGAAGGGCATAGAGTGGCCACCTGGACCTTGTTATAGGGTGGACAGGTGAGTTCAGGAGGCTCCACCTGCCTTGGTACTTCTTCTGCTACCTGGCCTTGAGCAGGGGCAGAGGGAAGGCTACCCAATATGACCTACCCAGAGTCTCAGGTCTCAGATTACCAAAGAAGAGGAGAAAGGAAGGATTGAGTACCCCGACTTTGGGACAACATGCTTGGACTTCAATCCTGACTTAAGGCTTTTAGACATGTTGTTCCTATCTCTGCTTTTTTGGGATGTGGGACAGTGGTGAGGACTTATGGAAAGGGCTCAGAGTCAGGTTTGGCACACAGCAAATTATGAAATGTTAATAAAGACGTTTAACATTGTCCTTCAAGGAGAAGTAGTCAAGGATTAATCACAGGTTACTTAGGGTGGTGGAAATAGCAGTACCCAAGTTAGTTTTGCGTTGGTCCAACATTAAGGCTTTCCCTTAAGACAGGAAAGGTTTGATGTGTTAAGGGATCCTGAATAATCCTTAGGAAGTCCTGCAGGTGGGCCACATTGCTTGAGGGCTGTGCATCAGCATGGGTATATATATTTAGAAGCTAGGCACTTTGGAATGGATAAAAGGAAAGTGTATGAGGGCTGGATGTGTCATAGACCTGTCCCTACACCTTCCTAACCTCCAGGATCAGCCCTTCCAGCAGGCTCCGGTGATGAGCCATTGGCAAGTGACGTGGGGTGAATAGGGTGGGTCATGCTGTCTGCTGAGATAGCATATCTGACAGCAGCTGCCACCCCACTGTGCTCTTATTCCTGCTATGCCAGCCTGCTGAGGCCCCAGTGCACCAAGTGGATCCCAAGTGGACAGGTCTGGACACTCAGAGACCACAGGCTTATGCTGCCAGCCCTGGGCAGGAGCTGCTTCCTACTATAGCATGTAGCTGCCTCTCAGCATCCCTTACCTGGCCTTCAGGATCTTCCACCACCCTGCATTAAAGCCTTCTGGCAGGCGCATCCCTGAATGGGGTATCTGTTTTCAAGGTTAGACCCTGCCTGTCAGACATAAGCAATGTAGCAATTACTGAGTAAGTAAGAGACCCCATCAGAGACCCCATCACGACTGAGGCCATTCTGAAAGTTATACACGCTATGAGTTCTGTGTAGGGAATGGAATATTTAATTGCCCACCCTTAGCCTGAGAATGAACATTTCTCCAGATCATTTCTGTTGCCACATATTGGTGAGTATCACCTTTAAGAGCATTTGGAGGTATCAGAGCTATGGAAGGAATGTGTGCATTCCCCACCTGAATGTGTAGCATACATAAAGTCATTACATGTGACCTGGGGGAGTACCTCAGTGAAAGAGTATAGGCTTAGTATAGGCTTGTGGATTCAATCCCTATCAACAAAGAAGAATAAGTAAAGTCATAGGCCTAAAGAAAAGGCACCTTTGTCATAGTCTGGTTCTGTTTGCCTTGCTTTACCAAATAACCTAACTTTCTGGAAGCTAATACTATGATTCACAACTTTGGACAACTCTACTTAATCAGAAAGTTTTAATAATAACTTAATATTTTGGTTGTTTCAACATTTGCTCTTTAAAGTATGGTCCCATTGCTCCATCATTAAACTTTTGGAAAGTTTAACAATTTTTAATGATTTAGATCCTGAATTTATCTAAGTATGTATTTATGTATTTATAGCCCTGGGGATTTAACTCAGGGATACTCTACCACTGAACTATATCCCCAAATCTTTTTATTTTTTATTTTGAGACAGACTCTTACTAAGATTCCCAGGCTGGCCTCAAACTTTCCATCCCCCTGCCTCAGATTCCCAAGTTGCTGGGATTACATGCATGTACCACCACACCCAGTGTCTATATATTTAATTTGTTGCAAAAGATTTTTTGGGCTTAGAAATGTGATTTGTACACTGAAATTTTTGTGGACATAATTTAAAGGAATTCATAAAGCTGTCTTTAAGTGACTTTATAATTGGCAAAAAAAAAAAAAGCCAGGTTTTATGCGAGGCAATGGTGAACACACTTCTCTGATTCTTTTATGCAAAGTCAGAGGATACTATCATCCCTTCACCTGTCTTCTGACTGCTTCTCTTGAAGGTGAGGGTAAGGTTTGAGCTGAAGTCTCCAGTGAAGACAATAGAAGATTTCCTCCGGAGGTTCACACCCAGCCGCCTGACCTCTGGCTGCAGCAGCATCGGGAGCCTGGCTACCACCAAGTCCAGCCACAAATCAGGGTGCAGCTTCATGTCCACTCTGTCCAACGACAGCATGCTTTTGAGGCTGGAGGAGAGGCTGGGCCAGCCCGCACCAGCCATTGCCAGCAATGGCTACAGCACCCCCGCAGACAGCTGGGAACCCAACTCCCCCCAGGAGCCTCAGCCAAAGCAGGAGCTGAGGTTTGAGGCCGAGAGCCCAGACGAGGCAGCACTGGTGTATGCGGCCAAGGCCTACAACTGTGCACTGGTGGATCGGCTACATGACCAGGTGTCAGTGGAGCTGCCCCATCTAGGAAGGCTCACTTTTGAACTCCTGCACACGCTTGGTTTTGACTCCATTCGCAAGAGGATGTCTGTGGTGATCCGGCACCCACTCACCGATGAGATCAATGTCTACACCAAGGGGGCTGACTCAGTAGTCATGGATCTCCTGCTGCCCTGCTCCTCAGGTACCAGCCTGTTCCCTTGCTGTACCCAATTCTTGGGGAAAATTTTTTGAGAAATCTCCTAACCCAGTCTTGTGGGTGATGCAATCTTCATTTATCCTTTTTTTTAAACAATGCCCATTAGAAAATCTAATGGTTTCTTTCAATCACTATTTCCCAGTTTAAAGGTTTGGACTAAACTGCATTAGGGGTCTTTGATGACTGGATTCCTCCCTCAACCCTGCTCCAGAGCAGTGGTGTTGGGAGATTTCTTGTGAAGCATCAGGTTTTAAATCTGAACAGTGAAGATTTGAAACCTCTAGACTAAAAATTCTGGGAAGTACACTCCTGCCCTGTGGACTGGGGGCATCTTTGAGGTCAAGACCACAGTTTTCAGCCTATTTGTGGAGCTGTCTCAGGCCACAATGTGGGGTGACAAGGAGGTATAGCTGCAGGTCTGTCTCCCACTACCCTCTGTCCTGACTTTGTGCTAAGCAGCAGCTCCATGTCAGTCTCTTTTATCCCTTTTGACTTAAAATGGGGATTAAAAACCACTGTTTTGGTTTTTGGAGGGTGGAACTTTATCCAGCAAAAGAGGCTATAAATCTTTCCAGCTAGAAATGCTCCTGAACTTGGAGGCAAGGAGGGAGCCATACTTGTACAGTTAACCTAGTCCTCCCTCCTCCGTTACTCAAACAATTGAGGAGGAGTGTGACTCAGCTCTGGAGGTCAAGAGCAGGGTAGAGGTAAGGATGCTATTGGCAGCTGGAGGGGACCTAATAGGGGCTCTGTTGCCTGACCCTTGAAGCCTGGCTGTTTTCCATATCCTGAAGTAGCTTTGGGTACCTTGTGTTGTAAAATATTATGCACTATAAAAGTCCTTCTGGAGTTTGGCTTCTACCAGCCCTATTAACCATAATCTCAGTGTCCTATGACAGAACTCTGGATACCAAAGCCTGGGACTACCCTGCTGCCTGAAAATATGCTAGAGGATCTTTGCAGACTGGAATTTCATGTCCTCATCACAGAATTGTGTCCTTCAAAAGGCATCTGATCTAAATTTGCAAATGTGTTTCTGAAAATAGTTAGACAACCAACTCTGGATAGGATGTTGCCTTTCTAGCCTTATGGTGGTCCTGTTGTTGGCATAGAAACCAATTCATGGGCTGACATTGTATGGCAAGAGGCTTCTTCAATCTGATGTTTGATTCTTTTTTTTTTTTTTAGCTATATCCTTTGTGTATTTTAGCGCATTTTACCTTTAAAACAAATTTTGTACAATTATGTCAGTGTATCTCTGAGTAGTTGAACAGTGTTTTTTTAAAAAACAACAACAACAACAAAAAAAAGCTAAGTATATACCTAAGCCATAAGACTTAGTTTCATGCCATTATCATCTAACTACTGAGGAAAAAAGACCTGAATTATAATAATCCATTTCAGCAAAATTTTACAATTCAAATTAGAAGGGTTTCAATTTACAAATCTTTTGAAAGGGCAATATTAATGCAATTCACATCAGAAAATCCAGTTAATACAATTAATAATAAACCACACTTTTGCTATATGGTAGAACTTTCTACTGGCCTTTCAGTTCCTTCAGCCTTCTGATTGTAGACTTGACTGTGACGGCAGAAGTGGTGTTGTAGGTCCAGGCACCACCAGCCACTGTTTTCATGCAGGAACCCCAGTGCTAGATCCCCACAGCCTGTCTCTTCATCTTGGTTTTGCCACAGAAAGGACAAGGGTACTTGGCGTGCTGACTGATTTCAATTTTGTTCAACATTTTTCGGAGGGAGGCACTGTAGCGGGTCCCATATTTACTGATGATTCCTTCTTTCTTAGTGTGTTTAGCTATGTCGCCACAACTTAGGCCCGAGACTGAAGAGCTTGATGTTTGATTCTTGTTTGCATCCACATGGAAGAAAAACATAGATGGGCCAAGCAGATTTTATTCTGCTACTCGAGACCACTTCTGTCCTATTTTGTGATTGTGCATTAAAGTTTACGTAAAGGATCCCCATGCTTCAGTCTTTAACACACACTAACACACACAATGGCTCATATCTAAGGTAGAATGTCTGGACTTGCACTAGAATACAAGAGTGGGACAAAAGTAGTAGGAGAGGCCTGTCATGTCCTAGAAAGAAAGTTAGGAATCCTGTTGAGCTGTGCAAGGAAACAGGTTCCACAGAGGAGACCACAGCAGTTGCCATACTTGTATTCTCTACTAGTATATGTTTTTTAAATGAACAGAAAAATCTCAAATATAGACAAAACACAAACAAAACTTTTATCACTAAGTTTTGATAATAGCATCTGTGTTAGTCAGTTTTTCATCAGTGTACGAAATACTGAAATAATTAACTTATAAAGAGAAAAGGTTTATTTAGCCCATGGTTATAGGTTTCAGTCCACAATTTGTTGGCCCTATTGCTTTTGGGCTATAACAGGCAGAATATTATGAGGAGTTCATGGTGGAGCATATCTGCTCACCTCATGGCCAGGGGGCCAAAAGGGAAAAGAAAGGTCAGGGTCTCACTATATTCCTTCTGAGGGTACACCCCCCAGTGACCTAAAGACCTTCCATTAGACTTCACCTCTTAAATTTTCTACCACCTCCCAACCATGCCAGTCTGCCACATGGGACTTTTGGGAACACTTAAGATACAAATTACAGCACCATTATTTCATAAAAGAAGGACATTTTAACACTTTCTCCTCATCTCCAAATATTAAAGATGTCACAGAATTTAACCCATCCTCTTTCTTCAAAGAGCTTACAATACTTTCACCAAGAGGCATGTGTTGGTTAAACTGACCCAGTGGGAGAGAATGGGTTGTATTAGCAATGCATGCCTGTGTGTTTGTCTTCCCTGCCCCAGCAGGTAATTGTGTGTCCCCTTGTCCCAGGTACTCAGGGTCCCAAATGGTCCGGACTATCTCTATTTACTCTTCTAGATTTATTTTGACAAATGTGGTTAATCTTAACGCTCAGCTCTTTTTTCTACCCAGAGATCCCTCCACCTGCCCTGTCCCTGGGACAACCAGAGTGCTCTATTGTTATTCTGATCTTGTGTGTGGCAAGGGGGCTGGTATTAGGGATTGAATCCATGGCCCTCTATTGCTAAGGTAACATCCCCAGTCCTTTTTGTTTTTATGTTGAGACAGGATCTTACTAAGTTGCCTAGGCTGACCTTAAGCTTGTAATGCTCTGCCTGAACCTCTCAGGTTGTTGGGATTTTAAACATGTGCCACCCACCTGGCTTGTTATTTTTACTTCAGAGTTCAAAGAATCATCAGAATCTTGAAAGAGTTATCCACAGCTTCTGAGAGCTAAAATACCAGAGGTTTATCTATATATCTTCTAAGACACCTGTAATCCCAGTGGCTCAGGAGGCTGAGACAGAGAATCGTGAGTTCAAAGCCTGCCTCAGCCAACAGCAAGGTGCTAAGCAACTCAGTGAGACTCTGTCTTGAAATAAAATACAAAATAGGGCTGGGGATGTGGCTCAGTGGTAGAGTGCCCCTGAGTTCATTCCCCTTATACGTACATATGTACGTACATAAACAAATAAATACATACATACATACGTAAATTTGAGCTTCATCTTCTCAGGAAATTTAAATCCCTAAAGCAAAGCAATTTAAAGCAACTCTTTTTATTCTAATTATCACCTCATTAAGGAGTCTTTTTTTTAAAAAAAAAATATTTTGGGGGGGGTTGTAGATGGACACAATACCTTCATCTTATTTATTTATTTATTTTTATAATGTGCTGAGGATCGAACCCAGTGCATCACACGTGCCAGGCAAGCAGTCTATCAATGAACCACAATCCCAACCCCTCTTTAAGGAGTCTTTTTAAAAACAATTGACCTCTTGCAACATTTTAATTCCACAGAGTTGCTGTATGTCTGTTTATGTTCCATGTATCTGTTTTATACACGAGTGAGATTTTGTCAACTCCCAAGAACAAGTTGGCATTCCCTTGAAGAATTTGTCACCCTTTAGGAGAATGCAGGATATTGGGATAAGAGTGCTTCTTGCTAGGTCCAGCATGGGATGCCCTTGGAATAGTAGAAAAGCTTCCCCAAGGCCAAGGACCTCAAGATTTAGGGTTGCAGATTTAGTAAATAAAATATATAGAATATTCAGTTAAATTTGAATTTCAGCTATATAACATGCATCTCACATGAGGAGGGAACATTTGGATATCTTCTACTTTATTTGGTAATACTACCAAATGATGTATGTTTTGAGGAGAGAAACTGCACTTTCTGTTAGTTTCCCATTTTTCGTAAGTATTAGAATGGGCACCTTCCTTTAATAGGCTGGACCAAAGGATTGATTCTAGATGTCTTTTGATGAGGTTTTTGTTTTCATGAGTTTCTCATTTCAACAAATGATCTTAGAAATAGCTAAAAATATGCATTTTGATGAGACCAATTAGTTGATTTATTTCTTTGAATTCTGTATGGAACTGTGCACATTATTTGAAAGTGATGAAGCAGATGGGGGGGTTGAATTTACTGCAGGGTGTTATGCTGGATGCCATTCCTTTTTATTCAATTTCCTGCTTCTACTCTGACCTAGATGACGCCAGAGGAAAGCATCAAAACAAGATCCGAAGCAAAACACAGAATTACCTCAACCTGTATGCAATGGAAGGCCTGCGTACCTTGTGCATCGCCAAGAGGGTGAGTGGGAACTGTCTCTGCAAAGAAGCAGAAGTGGGTGCCTCAACGTGTACAGTGCCTGACACAGCATTCAACAGTGTATCTCATATAGGTTCTGAGCAAAGAAGAGTATGCCTGTTGGTTGCAAAGCCACTTAGAAGCAGAATCATCTGTGGACAACCGAGAGGAGCTCCTTTTCCAATCTGCCATTCGCCTTGAGACGAATCTGCATCTATTGGGTAATTATGCCTGTGATCTGCCTGTCCTACGGAGCAGTGTTGAAATTGAAGAGAGGGTTTTGGAGAGGATGCTGGTCTGGCTGTAGTCAGTGGCTGATCTGCATGCTCTGGACTTGGTTAAAGAACCACCTGGCTTGATGCCATTGGGTCCCCCAGCCTACATGATCCTTGAATAAACATTCTCACTGGCCTATTTCCATGGGACCCATATGTACCCAGCATTCCATGATGGCAGCCAGCTTGCCTCCCCTAGATCCAGCTCTTCCACCAAAAAGAGAGATGAGCAGCAAGTCTTTTGACAATTGAGGTTTGAAAGGATTTCAACCTCCTGGCAAAACAAGAGAAAGGGTTGTGCCCTTTCTGTGCTGCACTTTGCATTTTATGAATATTTTACAGATTATTTGGAGATGAAAAGATAATGGGCTCATATTTACTAAAACATGCTCATATTTCCTACTTGTGTTCCTATTTATATTTAATAAATATGATGAGTGTTAGCAATAAAATATTTATTATTTTTATGCTCATTTCAACATTTGAAATAATCAATTTTAACTTCATACTTATTAGTGAATAAATCACCTTAGTCCTTGTATGGGTAGAGTTTGTTACTCTAGGTGTTCTCAGGAAGAGCTCATCACGACATTGACATTCCCTTCCATCCTCAGATCCCATTCATTTTGCATAAAGTCCTAGAGAGTTTCTCCTTCTCCATTTAACAAAGAAAGGTTGCATTCACTTAGCCTCATTCTCTGGGCAGAGGAGTTGAGAAATCTATATGTCTAATATAAAATATACTTAATATTGAATGGACTGATGTACACTAGATATAATGAATACATGTACACACTTCATATAATAGTCCACTGTACCCAACATCTATCTATGCCTTTTTCAGAGAAATTTCTTCCTAATTTGGATTCTATAATTAATATTCTAGTTGGGCAATTGTGTGAACATCTAAAAGAGGGGTTTTATACTTATCCTCCATTCTAGTTCTTTGTGTTAGGGTGAGGTCAGTGTCCTAGATAATCAAAAATTTTCAGAATTATAATTGAACCATGTCCTACTGTCGCCCTGAGGCAGATGGCTTTCCTCCAGGAGCATATGAAAATGGCTTTGATATGCGTCAGTTAAGGAACCAATGTGTTGCCTACATTGGGCATCAACAGTGTACTAGAGCATATTCTTGCCTGCTAACAAGAGCCCATTGTAAATTTTCAAGAATTTTGCAATAACCTCCTTCTATATTGCATAAAATTTCAAGAATTTCACAGTTTTTTCTTTCTTTTTTTTTTTTTTTTAAACTTGTGGCACTGGGAATTGAACATGCAGAGCATGTGCTCTACCACTGAGCTACATCCCTAGCCCTCACAAGGCCTTTTGATGCCATGTTGGTAGACTGAAATCAAGCAAAGTAGGAGTGTTTACAGCACAGAAATGGGCAAACTGGACAGCTCAGCCTCCCTCCCACAAGCCAGTTGCCAACCACTTATGATCTTCTACTACCTGATATATTTAAGTGATGAAGCCCAACCTGGAAGAAACAAGAGCCACCCACCATTTATTGTTCACCACAGCTTGATCTACAGGTAGGGAATTATGGGCTCTGTGTTGTAACTCCATTGTTTTAGGAAAGTGAAATGACGTATTTTTATTTTTCATATCCCAAAGCAAAATACTGCTTTCTAAATCTTTTCATTTAAGCGCTCATATTAAATAGCCCCAGAGAGCCACAAATAAATATCATCAGCAGAAAGGATCACCATTCACACTGTGTTCCTGAAATTTTCGTTTTCAAAATGTTCTGGCCAAGAACCTAAATCCAAATGACAACATTCTGCTCATTTTGCCTGGTGTTCTTGTTAGTTTCTCTAAATGTCATCTGGAACTCCCCAGTTGGTGACATCCTATCCCTTCTCATTGAAAGCCGTCTGACATCCCAGCACAGTGATGCATTGCACAGCACTAACTTCACTCCAAACTCTACCAATTACCCACGTTACAATACTTAGAAATGTCAGGCCCTCCCAAGGGTCAGATTGTAAAGAAGGTGGCATTTATTCAAAGTCACATAAATTATATTGCAAACAGGCTACCTTGGAATGCTGAAGAAAGACACTAGACTTCAGATCATTCTAAAAGGGCTTTGCCCTTTTTTCCTCAGCCATATGTGATGCCCAGGTGGGCACACTTTCTCTAACTCTAATACTAATATATTACTTTCTTTGTAATACTATTCTGTGCTTCATTCAAACCAGCAGATTGTATAGGCAAGGTCTGTGGAATGACCCAAGAAGAATCCCTTTACTAAGGTCAATTAGTTACTTAAATAAAAGATCTTATATTTTCAAGGTGTTAGGTTTTCCCTGAATAGGTGAAAACTCCTTCAAGACTGCAGTTTACCTGCACAGACCTTCCCTGCTTTCTATCTTGGTAGATATTGTACTGAGGCACCCTTGCTGAGCAGCTGGGGGATACCAGGCTCTTTCTGCAGGAAGTTGTGATCTAGTGAAGGGTACAAAACTGGTTGAGTTATGTATTCCCTTCCCCCATTGCTGTGACAAAATATGTGAGATAATCAACTTAGAAGGCAGAAAGGTTTATTTTGGCTCATAGTTTCAGGTTTCAGCCTATGGATGCTTGGCCTATTGACTTTGTGCCTGTGGCAAAGCAGTACATCTTGGTGGGAGTGCATGGTAGAGGACACTGCTCACCTAATGGTGGCCAAGAAGTAAAAAAAGAAAGGGCTGGGGTCTCAGTATTCCCTTTAAGAGAACACCTTTCTAATAGTAGGTATAAACTCTTCAAGGCCCCACCACTTTTCCATAGCACCATGGGCTGGGGATCACGTCTTTGACACATGCCCTCTTGGGTACATTCAGTATGTAAACTAACAAGTTATATACATAACAAGCACTGTAGGAGAAGCATTATCTTAGCTAACAGTAATCCATCATGGTTGGCTATTGTTATGATTACTAGATAATCATTATTTTTATCATTAAGTATAAATGAGGTTCTGTGAATATAGGGAGGCAAGTAAAGTCATCCCTCCCTCTTTCTTCATATGTCAAGGAATATATCACAGAAAGAGTGACCCTTCAGAGACTCAGGCCACACATGTTCTTTCCTCCTGCTAGATTCAGAGGACTTGGGGTGGGGAGAGAGGCCAAGACCAAATGCCTTTCTAGTGCCTGAGTGGCCAGGTATATGCTCACAGTGAGCACAGAGCATAACATATGTGGCTTCATTCCCCAGCAGGTCTTAGGCCCCATACTCTGCCTGGTCTCCTTCCTATGGGAACTCTTAAGATTCACATAAGAGTAGAGCTTTGGTAAAATGTCTTTTCTTCCTTTCTGGACCCTTTGCAAGTTCCCACTTAGACTTTTAGTACATCCCATAGAGTGGGAGGCAGATCTGATTTACTTCATAGGTTACTTGAGCTGCAAGAGCAAAGACCAGCCACACTTCCCTTCAAGGGGCTTCTGAGGGCTGGTGACATTCTGGTTCCTGAGCTTAGGGCTGGTTACATAAGTATGTGATTCTTTAAAAGTATATCCAAATGTATATTTAAGAAATATTGTATATTATACCTTGATTCTGTCTTCCCCTTTCCTATGCCTGCCAACTTGTTCATTCTAGGAGAAGAAAGGGCAAGAACATCTTAATTTGTTTTGACCATTGTTTAAGCCACCCAGTCTAAGTAAACAAATGTTTACTTCTTACAGCCTTGGAGGCTGGAAGTCTAAGATCAAGGCACCAGCAAATCCATTGTTTGTTGAAGGCTCTCTTGGTTTGCAAACAGCTGCCTTCTCTCTGTGTCATCACATAGTAAAGAGAGATGATTTCTCTGGTACCTTTTTAAAATAGGATACTAATGCCATCAGGGACTGCATCCTCATGACTTCATCTAAACCTAATCACCTTCCAAAGGCTCTATATCTTAACCCTATCACATTGTGAATTAGTGCTTCAACTTGTGAATCTGGGTAGGTGGGGGACACAGACATGGAGTACATAGTAGTGTCCCAGCACAGGGAACAGTGTGTCATGAAGGACTGAAGCAGGAATGGCTAAGCCTCAGCCAGGGCTATAGCCCAGGAGTACTTGGGCTAGTGCTCACTTCTAATGCAGTAAAGAAAGCTAATACACGAAAAAAAATGGAGGTAGGCCCAAGCACATTTCTGCACTGAATACAGATTCAGCATCCCTTATCCAAAATCTTGGGATCTAAAGTGTTTTGGATTTTAAGTATTTTTCAGTTTTGAAATACTTATGTGCACATAATGAAATATTTTGGGGATGGGACCCAAGATGAAAACTGAAATTCATTTATGTTTTTTATACTGTATGCCTTATACATATAATTTGAGGATAATCTCATATATTATTTTTAATGCACCTGCATTTTGGCTATATCCTGTCATATTGAGGATGGGTGTGGAATTTTCCATGTAGCATCATGTTAGCATTCATAAAGTTTTATAGTTTAGAGCATTTTGGATTTCATATTTTTCTGGTTAGGGATATTCAACCTATAGTGTATTTTTCCTAACATGGTGAGACCAATAAGGCTACCTCTTAATTTTTTGATTGTGCAAAAAAAAATTCTTTTTCAGGATAAGGTTGGTTTCAAGATTTAAATAATGTGTCTGCCCTTGCCATCTGTTTTGATAGAAAATGGTTAATACTATTGAGAACAAACATGTGAACTTCATTTACTAGAAGCTTTCCATGGGAGGGGTAATTTCTAAGACTTAAAAAACAAAAAAAAATACCTCAAAATATGGTCATTTCTATCACCTCACCATGAGGTTTGTTTTCAAGCTATCTGTAAAGTTACAAGTTAGCTGCCTGATAGTCAGGAAGAATTCAAGGTTCTTTGTTGTAAGTATACACAATTATGCTCAGTGTTCCTTTTTGTTTGTTCCTCCTACACATTCTTGACTGAGTCATATCAAGAGAGCTATCACAAGTGTCCACCACTGCCCTGAAGTGGTGAATCATCAATGTGTGCTTCCAAAAGGCACTTCCTGCCATTAGATGTCAGATGCAACTGGTAGCTGAGCCCCGAGCAGCTCCCAGTCAATAGGGACTGTGCTGTCACCTGTCTTTGGTGTATTTGGTGTGTGGGATTTGAATCCCATCAAGAGTTAGAGACATGTGAAGAGAGGGCTCACTCACACCATTGCCCATTTGACCAGGTGCCACAGGAATCGAAGACCGCCTACAGGATGGAGTCCCTGAAACTATCACTAAATTGCGTCAAGCAGGCCTACAGATTTGGGTTCTCACTGGTGACAAACAAGAAACAGCCATTAACATTGCATATGCCTGCAAACTTCTGGACCATGATGAAGAAGTCATCACCCTAAACGCCGAATCCCAGGTAGGTGGATTTCAGGAAACCTTTGTTCCTCTTGGGATGGCCTCGTGTCCTGTGGGACCACCATAGCAGGACTCTTGTTGGAAGACCACCTGGAAAGCTTCCATTCTGTCAACTACTGTGAGAAGGACCCTTGCCCACTATATATCCCTCTTAGCACCTGTGTCATGTTTCTGGGACTTAAGATGTGCTTGTCATTGCCTTGGAAGATGTGGCATTTACTGGAGTTTCTTGTCGTCAAAGGAATACACATCTGAGTTTTGCTAGTGCAAAGTGCAGCCTCTTTTTTTTATTGATTTTTTTTCCTTAAATAAATGACATCAGAATGCATTAAAATTCTTATTACACATATAGAACACAATTTTTCATATCTCTGGTTGTATATAAAGTATGTCCACAATAATTCGTGTCTTCACACACGTCCTTTGGATAATGGTAGAATGTGATGGACCATTATCCAAAGTGCAGCCTCTTTTACCAACATACTACTCTTGTTGACAATATCAGAATTTTTTTTATGAGGTTAAGTATGTAAAAAGTGGGGTCAGGATAGCACTGACTTCCCTGGGATTATTAACTGTCTCCTGGATGCCCCCAACAGGCATTAAATATTTTTGTTGTCAGGTCACATGTATCTGTTTAAATCCTCAAGTATGTAGCAAGTATCTGCTTCATGTACTGTCACAATCTATGCTCTCATTCTACATCTGTGCTCCCCTCAAAGGATGTTCTCATGCTGGCTCACAGTTTTGTGATGGAGCAGCGAGCTGTCTCGCTGTATCCACTTCATTTTTCCCTGGCCTTCTCAGAGTGGTAAAGGCTCCCACAGTCTCTTTGGGACTCATACACAGATTCAGCCTTCCTTTCTCACTTCCACATCCAGACCTTCAACTGTCAAGACCTCAGAACACTGACACTGAGAGTCACTTGTTCATAGCATTACCCTATTATCTTTTAATGTCTGTGGGATCAGTAATTTATGATATAGGTAATTTGCTTCTTTTCTTTTGGTCAGTTTTGGTACTAGCCTATCAATTATATTGACCTTTTCAAAGGACATGTTTTGGTTTCATTGATTTATTTCCCTCTCTGTTTTCTGTTTTATTGATACCTGCTCTTTGTTATTTCCTTATTTTTTTTTTTTTTGCTTGTTTTGCTTTTATTTTACTCTAGTTTCTCAAAATGAATTCTTTGGTTACTGATTTGAGAACATTTTTCTTTTCTAATATAAGCAATATAGGTTATAATTTTTCTGTAGGCACTGTTTATCTGCATCTCACAATTTTAAAGAGCTGTGATTTCATTTACATACAGTTCAAGACAGTTTTTAATTTTTTTTTTCCTTAGGGCTTCCTGTTTGACTCATGGATTATTTACAAGTTTTTGTTTTTTCATTTCCAAGTGTTTGGAGAATTTCCTCCTATCTTGCTGTTATTGATTTCCAGTTTAATTCCATTGTGGTTGGGCTTGCATTTTACGGTTTTGACTTTTTGAAATTTATTTTTATTTTATTTTATTTTATTTTTTTGCCATACTGGGGATCAAACCTGGGGACATTCTATCACTGAGCTACATGTCCAGCCCTCATTAGTTTTCTTTTTTTTTTTTTTTTTGGAGGGGGGGTGGGTAAATCTTTTTTTTAGACATTGATGGGCTTTAAGTTTATTCATTGATTTATTTATATGTGATGCTGAGAATTGAACCCAGTGCCTCACACATGCTAGGCAAGCGCTCTACCACTTCACCACAACCCCAGCTGCCCTCATTAGTTTTTATTTTGAGGCAGGGTCTCACTAAGTTGCCCAGACTTTCCTTAAACTTGTGATCCACCTGTCTCAGCTTCCTGAATCCCTGAGATTACAGGCATGCAACAGCCTGTTTTTCTTTTTAATGACCCAAAGTATGTTCTCTCTTGGCAATTGTTATGTTCCTTGGAAAGAATGCTTGCATGATCCATTTGTGGTGTCTTCTACAAATACCATTTGGTTGTAAAAGGAGTGGCTCAATTCTTGTATATTAGGGGTCAACAAACAAGACTTCCCAAGTTGCCTTGTGGCACGATCCCCCTTTTGTTTGAAGAACGTTCTTTATTTCATCTTTATTCCTGAAGGATATTTTCATTACATACAGAAAATTGAAGTGGCAGTTCTTTTCTTTTAACACGTGAAAAATATTTCTCCTTCCAGACGCCATAGTTTCTAATACGAAATCATAGTCATTTGAATCACTGTTATCTTTGAACTAATGAATTGTTTTTACCTAGCTGCTGCTAGACTTTATCCTTGTCTTCTGTTTTAAGCAGTTTGATTATGACGTGTTTCAACATGATTTGCTTTTGATTTATACTCTGGGATCTGATTATTTTCTCAGATCTTTTACCAAGTTGGAGGTCTTTTCAGCCATTATTTCTGCAATGTCTTTTCTGTACTTTGTCTTCCTCTTCTGGTACCTGGTTGACGTGAATGTTCTGTCTTTTGATATGGCCTCAGTGCTCATGGGGATTTCTTTGCTTTTGTTTTTCTTTCTTTTTAATTTTTTTCTCTGTTGTCCAGGTTGAATAATTCCTATTCATCTATCTTTGAATTCACTGAAATTTTCCTATTACCTTCTTTCTACTACTAAGCCCATTTGGTGAATTTTTTAAAATTAGCTTAGTATATAGAATGTGTTTGTATTTACAGAAAAGTTGGAAAGACTACAGAGAGTACCCATAACCACACCCAGTTTGTCTCTGATGTACTTACACAAGCATAGTACGTTTATTATATTCACGAACCAATATTAGTCTATTATTACTTACTGAAGTCCATACTACATGCAGAGTGCCTTAGTTTTGCCTAACGTCCCTTCTCTGCCCCAAGGATCTCATATTACATTTATTTATCATGTCTTCCTTGACTGTTCTTTGCTGTGACAGTTTCTTATACTCTGTTTTTGCTGACGTTGGCAGTTTTGAAGACTCCTGGCGAGGTATCTTATAGAATGTCACTATAATGGGATGTGTCTGATGTTTTCTCTCTGACTAGAGTGGAGTTTGGGAAGCACAAGGACATAAAGTCCCATTTTCATCTCATCACATCACATCACTGTGATATCACTGTGATGTTGACTTGGTGTCTGTCAGGTTTGTCACTGTAAACTTATTCTTGTGCCCTTTTGTATGCTGAGCTCTCAGGAAGGAAATCACTATGTAGAACTCACCCTTAAGGAGTGTGGACTTACAGCCTGCCTCCTGGAGGGCAGAGTAGCTACGCAAATTGTGTAGAATTCAGTGAGCTTTTCATTTTGGTTAATGCACTCGGGATTCTAAAGCTTCTATTTGGTCTTTCCATTTGTTGTCTATGGTTTTGTTTTTTTTGTTGGTTTGTGTTTTTCTGTTCACCTCACAATGTTCATGCTTACTTCTTGGAACATTTTTATAATGGCTGTTTTCAAGCTCTTGTCAGATCACTTCAGCATCTTTGCTGTCTTCTGTTGTCTTTTTCTACCATAATCTGATATTTTCCTGGTTCTTTGAACATGGAGAAGCTTTGGATTATATCATGGGTGTTTTAAATACTATATTATGAACCTCTTGTTATTTTTAATTTCTGTGGAGGATACAGATTTTGGTGTGTGTGTGTGTGTGTGTGTGTGTGTGATCAACAGGTGATCAACACCTGAACAGCTTCCAGGTGTTGGATTCAGTGGTAAATTTGTTTAGCCTTTGTTGTGCTCTTAGCATCCCTCTTAGAATCTGTATTTTTACCCTCCAGAGGTCAATTTGGAACTAGGGTGGCAGTCTGTGCCAGAGTTTAATTTTCAAAGGCATTGTTACATTTAGGGTTATTATCATGTGCACACAGCTTATGGATGAACCCAGGAATTCATAAACAACATTATGGGATCAGTTAGCCAAATCCCTCTTTACAATCTTTCCAGTACTTTCTGGTTCCCTAGGGACTCCCCTATTCAGTCCTGTGGCTAGAAGACTGGTGTCTGAGCTACCTTATTCTGCCCTTTATTTCCCACACCTCCAACTGCATCCAAGGTAGGACAGAAACAATAAAGGCAGAAGTTATCATGTCCTCTTGACACCACAGTTCTGTGATTTTAAAAAAAGGCTCATTTCCCTCAGTCTTTGACAGGAGATGGTCCCACTGATAGCGCTATTCCTGTCAGTGCACCATCGCAAAATCATCTGAGACTGTGTTGGAAAGAAGAGAGGAAAAATAAACACATAAAAGTGGAGATTTCCTTCATCTTCCCTGAGCATTAGGTATTCCTTGTCTTTTATTTGTTTTTTGGTTTTTTTCTCCTCAAGCCAGAACCAGGGGGCTTCTCCTGGAGCTGTCCTCTGTCCTCTATCCTTGATACCCATTTCAAGTTCCCTGGTAACTTGGGCCATGCAGGGATTACCAAAATAAATAAATTAATTAATTAAAATGGAAAACTCAGGCTGGGGTTGTGGCTCAGTGGTAGAGCGCTTGCCTAGCACATGTGAGGCCTTGGGTTTAATTCTCAGCACCACAAGTAAGTAAATAAAACAAAGGTCCATTGACAACTAAAAAAATTAAAAAAAAAAAAAAAAGGAAAACCCAATACCCATTCCCTGACCTTAGCATGTTAGTCTTTCCCCAATCTAATTGCTACTATTTACTTTTTACTTTCAGAATTCACAAATAGTTTCTTTTTGCATTCTGTCCAGTTATAATAGTGCATTCAAGGGAGAGATGAGATGGATGGATTGTTTGTTTCATCCTACCTAGACTTAGCCTAGAATAGTGCTTTGTGCTAGGACCAAGAATTCAAAGTGCTTCAAAGCCTCCCCAGTTACCACCATGTCCCTCTATCCATCCTAGAAGCATATTTCCCCAATTCCAATTTTCACATATCCAATATCAGCTTTGAACATCCCTGTCTTTGACTTGTTGGAGTCATGAGTTTTTGTGTTACTAGCTGCTTGATTCTCATCCAAGAGGCAAAAACTATCCTTTAACTATCCTTTCTCGTTCTGTTTTCCTCCAGTCTTGCTTTGTTTTCTGGATACAATTCGTCTTTGATAAGCATTGGTTGAACACAATTGGATTTCCATAATATGTTGCCAGGAGTTGATCCCTAAGCCAGTAGCTCACTATGGAGGACCAGGAGTCACTCAGCACTTCCTCACATTGTGTTTGTTCCCAGAAGTAATCGTCCCTTCTGGGGCTCCATTCCTGTCCCTGATTCCTAATGTAGATTTTCCTCCTCTCTCTCGAATTCAGATCCAGGTTTGGAAGGACACAGCCAATTTAAAAACCTCAATAATTATGATTTATTAAATTTCTTTTCCTTGTGGAATTGGAAAGAACACTGATAATTACAACATATTTAGGGGTTAATCACTCTAAAGGTTAAAACTCTTTCAAAGTTCTTTGAAAGAGCTTTTCATTCAACTCTTGGTAGCTTAGAAGGAAAGAAGAAGAGTTAGGCAAGGGCCTCAGGGAAGTATAGAGACATGCAGGTGGAGATCCTCACCCTAAGTAGCTACAAATACAGCCAAATGTCTCCAAGTGAAGATACTCCATTCCAGAACTTTTCACTGTGTGATGAGTGATAAACTACAATTTCACAGAAACGTGGTGCACTCTCTTCTGTGCTGAAAGTCATGCTCTTCAGCTGCACTTAGCTTCTGGAGGGCAGCCTTTTAGGCGGCCGGATACTCCAGTATGGAGTCCTAGAAGGATCATCAGCTCAGATATGTTGAGGCAGGTGACTTGGGTCTGTGGTGTGGTCCCTAGTGAACTGCTGCCGTCTCCTGTCTGTTTCAGGAAGCCTGTGCAGCCCTGCTGGATCAGTGTCTGCACCACGTGCAGTCCAGGGGTTCCCACAGGCCCCCTGAGAAGACCGAAAGCTCTGTGAATGTGGGATTCTCCCCTCTGTACCTGGCCTCCACCACAACCACTCTCTCTGGCCCCAGCCCAAGCCTTGTGATTGATGGAAGAAGTTTGGCCTATGCCCTTGAGAAAAACCTGGAGGACAAATTTCTTTTCCTCGCCAAGCAGTGCCGCTCAGTTCTCTGCTGTCGGTCAACCCCTCTGCAGAAAAGTATGGTGGTAAAGCTGGTCAGAAGCAAGCTGAAGGCCATGACCCTGGCAATAGGCAAGTATCCAGGCTGACCAGGCAGGGGCCCATCTCCCCCAACTGCTTTCTCCCAAGCAGTCTCGTTTCTATCTAATACTCTCCCTTGGAAAACCATAACATGGGAAAAGCATTTCTCTTCATTGTTTTTCATTTACAAAATCATACTCTATGTGATAAAGTGAGCAACATGTTCCAAATATAAAAATTTACAATGGAAAGCCACAAAATATAGTGGTAGTTACAGGTACATGTCATGAAGTTGGTAGTACAGTGCTAATTTAGAAGATGGTATTTACACTGTTTCTTAGGAGACAGAACATTAGAGACCTGCCTGTCCCAGGCAGTCCTGGAAAAAGTGAGGGGTCTACATGATCAGTGTTAACCCAGGCCAACTAAGAAAGAGGGAAGAGACAGGGGCAGGGGTTTCTGGTCTCCATGCAGCTGCTGGGGTCCAAGGCTCTACAATGCTTTAAGGACCCAGACAAGTGATGATCAGAATTCCCATAGCTCAACTGTGCTGACTGTTCTAAGACAATCATTTCATTAAATAAATCCATTATCAGATATAAATGGCTATACTACTTTACATCATTTACTTAAGGATTGACTGTGTATATAATGGAACTTTTCCTTGCAGGTTCTACTGGCCTGGAGAACCTTCCAGGTTCTTCTCCAGTGACACAGTGGTGGTGACTTTCCATATTATGTAACACTCAAAATTTGTATATCTGCACCTTTTATTATTAGTATAGCTTGAAATATATGCTGTGATTTGGGCTGTTCTGCTTCCCAGTTCCAAGAATGGTCACTGTTACTGAGTGATAATTACTCTATGTCCCTGCTTGTCCTTTCCTAAAGGTGTTGAGGGGCCCGACTTATCCATGTGTTCCTATACATTTGTCTATCAGCAACTTGATAAAATAAATGGGCCTCAAGGTACACACATTAATTAATATGCTGGCTGGTTATCAATATGCAAAAAGAGCTGTATGGTGTAACACTTCTTCACCTTGTTTTGAAAACTGCTTGGGAGAGTATGACTTGGAGTAGCCTTGGCTACCTGGCTACAGTAGTTGAGTAACTATAATAATGATGAAATGATAGCATCTTTCATTGTACCCAATACATATTAAGGGCTCTGTAGGAACTGACATTAAAAAGGGAACACTAAATTAGAAGGTAATTCGGTACTAGCCTGATTTCTTGTGTGGCTGGCAGTTCAGATGTCTTACTATGGTTTGCTCCGACTGCTTAACTCAGTTCTCCCAGGGAAGGTGCTGTACTCTTTTCCCTGATCTTCCCTAATACTATTTCACAGGACTCAGTCCAGTGGGGACCCCAAGAAGATCCATCAGGTCCACTAGATTCTGCACATCTCATCTCAAATGATTCTTCCCACCTGTGCTGTTTCTAGGTGATGGAGCCAATGATGTCAGCATGATCCAGGTGGCAGACGTGGGTGTGGGCATATCAGGCCAGGAGGGCATGCAGGTAAAGACCAGTTGGGGCTGTCCCTAGGCATTAAGTGGCCTCCATTGGCCTCTTATACTGTCTTGCCATGAGCTTCCCCAGACTTCCCCTGGGCTGTCTCATGAAGCTAGGGGATTTGGCTTCAGTACACCTGATGTTCACCTTCTGCTAAGCCAGAGGGAGAAGATGAGGTGGAATGTCACTCTCCATATTTATGAAACAACGTGCCATAAACATATCTGCCTGTGTCTAGCAGAGTATATTTTGGGGGAATCAGAGGTTCTGAGAGAGGCAAAGTGAGTCATTGCCTTCTCCCTGGCTCTTGATGGCTCATCCCTAGGAAGCACTTCTTTACTGTTCCCAAACACTAGTGATAGCATTTGAAAAATGGCCTTTGCTGTAGAGCTGTTGAAACCTGGTGTCACCATAAAATTGGAAGGTAGCCACCTTGACTCCCATGGAAATGCAGCTCTGCATTTTTCATTTGTCATTGTGTCAGTTCTCAGTGTTCCAGAAGTTGAACACATGAGTTAATTAAAAATGTGTTTCTTTTGGATACAGTATTATGACAATTTCTTGCATCTGATCAAATTTGAATCATAACATTTTTTTAATTTGGTGGAGACTTCTGAAAACCATTCATTGAATGTTTTTCTAAAAATCAGGATGTTGGCCACCATGTATTCGTTGGTTAAATCATTCACTCATTCATTCATTCAAATCACAGTTATTTATTAAGTACTTAATATGTGCCAGGCCTGTGCAGAGATCATTCATTTTCTTTCTTGATGTAAAAATAACAGTCAGATGGAAGGTCTCTAGTTGGAAACCCCTTGGTGTCTATGGTGAATTGGTTCCAAAATCCCCAGTGAACACAAAAATCTACAAATGACCAAATCTTTTACATTAATGGTGTAATATTTGCATATAATCTACACAATTCTCTCCCATACTTTAATCATCTCTAGCTTATTTCTAATACCTAGTACAATGTAAATGCTAAGTAAATAGCTGTTGATACTGCATTGTTTAGGGAATAATGACAAGAAAACATCTCTACATTTTCAGTACAGATGCAGTTTTTCCCCCAAATATTTTCCATCTCCAGTTGTTTAAGTCTGCATATGCAAAAAACACAATAGGAAGACTGACTATAGAAGATTGAAAAGTTCACAAACTTAGATCATCAATTACCCAAACCAATTCTTAAAGACTTCAAAGCAAATATCTCTAAACCACTTCCTGTCAATATGTAAGGGTTTAAATGCTTTATGTGTTCTTTAATTCATTTATTCCATTATTCATTCTCTCAAAAAAATTATTCATTCAGACCTCACTTTTGTCAGGTACAGACTTAAAGATGCAGAGTCCATCAGATACAATCCTGTCCTCAGTGGAGTCAGTCTAAACACTCTGTCAAAAGGGACAGAAAGGGGCTGGAGGTATAAATCAGTGGTAGAGCCCTTACCTAGCATGTGCAAGACCTTGAGGCTTAATTCCCAGTACCATCCCGAAATCAAAATAGGTCCATGGGCTGCAAGATAGACTTCTAAATTGTCTTTGGAGAAGGAACCCTGTTTGTTTAGAGCTAAGGTAGCCCACCTGAATCCCCAGCCTTCTGGCCTCCTACTTATCCCCAAATCTATCAATAAACACAGTGTTTATCCCTCTATTAAAGTGGCTTTGCAAATGCCTCTGAGCTATTTTGGAAATTCCACTAAAACCAGGATGGTAGATGTTGTGATTGTTCTGTAATCTTAGTTTTTACTCAGGACTTGGTTGCAGGGGTTGCTCCACAAATATGGTGGACCAGTAAGCCCACAAAGACCAAGCATCTCAAAGATGCATATCTCTATTGCCCTCTCCACTGCTGATTATCCTTGCTTATCCTCAATGGCTCCACCCCAACCTCTGATGCTGCTGCCACCACAGCAAGGATTCAGCATAGTTTCCCTTCATTTACTGGACTAAAATGCAAGACACAGGGTCATATTCACCTGTAAACCTGAACACTTAGAACTGTAAGAAGTATCAGTATGTAAAATTAGAAAGCAGCTTAAATAAATATGGAAGCATTCAGCAACACTCTACCTAGAAGTTACACCTTCCAAAGCTGCATTTCAAGGCAAATGCACTATGGCTCAGGTGCTCCATCACTGCTCACATGATTTGAGTCAGAGATCCCCATAGAGGAGGCTTGTGCTCCTTACCTTGAGTAAAGGAGCAGTGGTGGCAGCTGTGTCCTCTCCCCAGACACTTGCTTAACATTAGGGTCTTTAATACAAAAGATATTTACTTGTTAAGTTTCTCTGCATGTAAGATTGACAGGCACTGCCCTAGTCAGCTCTTCGCTACCAGAAATCGTGAAAACAGAGAAATGCTGAAAAAGTTTAAAAAAATTATTCATTTTGTTCAATCAACAAATGTTTCTTTTTAAAAATTTATTTATTCTAATTTGTTATACTTGACAGCAGAATTCTTTTCAATTCATAATATGTATATGGAGCACAAATTTTCATTTCTCTGGTTGTACACAAATTAGAGTCACACCATTTGTGTTTTCATAGGTGTACTTAGGGTAATGATGTCCATCTCATTCCACCATATTTCAAACCCACATTCCCCCCTGTTACACTCCCTCCCCTTTCACCAATCCAAAATTCCTTCATTCCACCCATGGTCCCCACCCTCCCCCAACAAATGTTTCTTGAGCTTCCACCATTTGCATGGTGCTGTGCTGGATATCGTGAATAGGCAAAAGTAAGTCAAACTTATTTCTGTTTAAACTTCCTGGAGGAAGAAAATTGTACATGTAGCAAAATAGTGACTGAAGTCAGATGAGGGTGAGGGAACTGCTGAGATTAGGTCCAAGGTAGATTTACCCTTGGCCCTCCATATCTACGGGTTCTTCATCTGCAGATTCAAATAATGGAATGGTAAATATTTGGATTTATGTGTGTGTGCTAAACATATACAGATATTTTCTTGTCAATTTTTATTAAATAATACAGTAAAATGACTATTTATTCTTCTGGGGAGAATAGAGCAAAATGTACTTTCAGGGTGGCCAAACAAAAAAGACAACTATGGTTGATCTTTGGGTTGAGATCATGGTGTGGTTTAGAGGAATATGACATCCGGAGATGGAGAAAAGTGGGAAAATTCCATTCATCTGCAGTTTGTGGGTTGTTAAAAGATAGCATGGAACTATGTGCATGTATAAATAATACCATAGTTAATTCCACTTTTATATATATTCATAAATCACCAATCAAAAATAAATAAAGGAGAAAAAAACCCAGCAGGGACTTATGTAAAAAAAAAAAGGCAAAATCTTTTTTAAACACATCAGTTACATATCTAATGTTTGAAGCCTTAAATTAATCCTGTAAAGTGATATCCCTGATTTATTGAGATTGAACATTTTTAATTAAAAGAGATGATGAAGGAGACAGTGGTCAAGTCACACTTAACGGTGTTTGAAGCTGGATTTTTCCTTCCATATTTTGCCTTGCATTTGGGATAGGTAAGACAGACCTTATGCTGTGTGAGGCATCACCAATAATGGGAATTCTTCTCCCTTTCAAGGCAGTGATGGCCAGTGACTTTGCAGTGCCAAGATTCCGATACTTGGAGAGACTCTTAATTGTCCATGGACATTGGTGCTACTCCCGACTGGCCAACATGGTGCTGTATTTCTTCTACAAAAACACAGTAGGTATTAGATACTGGTCTTTAGAGTTTCTTAATTAAAAGGCCTGGCATATTTAGAATCATCACCTAAATGAGACCTGTAAGTCACCCCAGGGCCTCTTGTCATTCCATCCTCCTTAGCTTCTGTGAATGTCCCTCAGTCCTCCAGTCCTTGTCTGGATTTGCATCCTGTAAGCTCAGAAAACCAACTCATGGGCACATGAGAGCAGCTGCACTTCTGAGAGAGAAGGTCCTGGGAACAAGAGGGTCCACATGTGACTGAATATTGGAATCTGAGTCACTTTGTATATGTGCTTCTCAGGAGTGTGCTTCTATTATAGACACCCTACTTTCTCTAGAGCAGATAGGGAAGATCAAAGAATTAGTAGAAGTGTGCTTGGTAGTCTTGGGATCATAAGGTTACTTGGTCACACTACGATTCCAATATTCAATTGTATCTGTTGGAGACACACCCATCCCAGGCCTGTCAGGGAGTCTCCAGGTCAAAGCTATACAGATTTAGGCCAGGCAGGAAAGGGGCCACCACACTTACCTGGGCTTGCAGGGCTGACACGCCCCCTTGTGGCCAGCTCTGTCTATAGCTAAAATGACCCTTCAGTGAAGTCTTGCCCAGGCCAGATAGGCTGCAGATCATTCTTTCTGTCTAAGGAGTGAATATAGTGCCCTGTTTTATCCATTTCATCTGAATTTTAATGTTCATCTTAGTTCCTTCACTGCTAAGTCTTTAGAATGCTTTCTACATAGTCCTGCAGGATGGATCACAAGACTGTCACAGAATCCTGCCCCACTGATGAAAGATTTCCAGATACTCTGCTGAAAAGTTGCTAGGTTGCTGCTCAGTGGTCCTGCCTCTGAGCCCTTATACCCAGTATAACAAGTACTAAACAAACTCTTGGTACAAATGACCTTCCAGGGTAGATACAAAAATCTAGCTGTCTAGACATCAAAAATCCAATGTCAAGATTATCCTGTAGTCTTCTGAAAAAGAATAAAATAAGTTAAAAAGTATATATTTTTCTAATTCCATTTGAAATCTCCATGCTAACTTTAAATTGACATCAGCATACCCTTTGTTCATGTTCATAATGGTTTGTTCCCGAGGCTGACGCCTACCTTTCCATTCCCATCCTCTCCCACCCACTCACTCTTTCCTGATTTTCAAAATGTCTTCTAGCAAATGAATACAGATGATCAGAACCAATCAGGGCATGTCTAATTGGATAGGTTTGGGCCTGGAAATTAATTCAGAGTTTTGCCTGGGACTATAACCAAGGAAAGCTGGTATACTGTTCCTGCCCTTGCTAGTTCATTTCTCCTTTCTGCCTACCTGCTGGAATTGAATCCCAGCACAGTGATACCTCAAAGAAGCAGTTGCAAACACAGAGGCTCCTAGGTGTGAGCAGGTGGGTGAGGTGTTTGCAGGGGTGGGGGTGCGAGTTCCTGCTTCATTTCTGTCACTCACTAGCAGTAGGAACAATAGCAAGTTGCAAATGCTCCTAAGCATATCATGGAGTAACTCTCCCAGTAAACTTACTGCAAGTTGAAAATATCCCAATTTGAAAACACACTGAATACTCCTAACCTACGTAACATCATAGCTTAGCTGCACAGCACACTGCAGAGCTTTTGCTGTTTCCTCTTGTGATTTCACGGCTGATTGGAGCTCCAGCTCAAAGCCACTGCCCAGCATTTTGAGAAGATAGGACCACGCATTCCTAGTTCAGGCAAAGATCCAAATTCAAAATTTAAGGTTAGGTTTCTCCTGAAGGCATATTGCTTTCTCATCATTTTCGTAAAAAAAA